CAGTGCAGGGGGTGGGGGGTGCATTGCTACTAGCGTTAGCACAATGAAATGCTAGCTGTTCCCATTGCATTCCATTAATTGAGCTAACGACTATCCATATATATATTTTTTAATTACATCATATTTTTTGCAGCGGTGGCATGAATATAGGGGAAACACTGCAGTTACCATATTCAAAGGGTGAGACCATGAGAAACAAGATTCTCTGGTCTGATGAAACCAAGATTGAACTCTTTGGCCTGAATGCCAAGCGTCACGTTTGGAGGAAACCTGGCACAATCCCTACGGTGAAACATGGTGGCAGCATCATGGTGGTGGCAGGGACTGGGAGACTAGTCAGGATCGAGGGAAAGATGAACTGAGCAAAGTACAGAGAGATCCTTGATAAAAACCTGCTCCAGAGCACTCAGGACCTCAGACTTGCATAAGCACGTTTGTATAAGCAATTGTGTGTGTGTGTGTGTGTGTGTGTGTGTGTGTGTGTGTGTGTGTGTGTGTGTGTGTGTGTGTGTGTGTGTGTGTGTGTGTGTGTGTGTGTACCCATCAGCATGCTAACGCAAACATCTACTCCTAGCCGTTCCAACAATGTTAGATAAACCCACAAGGCCAGTTTTCTGTCTGGTCTTTCATCAATCATTAAAACGACGCTGAGACAAGACTATGTTTCCCTTCCCTTTGCTCAAACAGCTGAGAGAACTCGTAAGCAACATCGGACAGAATGGAAACACACACACGTCACGTGTTTTTCCAACCTTGTACAGAGTGAAACACAGCTGTAGGATGCTGACGTCAGTATGTTGTTAATTAAATCTGACTGCAGGTCAGTTTAAGACTCAGTGGTGAGTTGCCTCACACGAGGCAGGATTAGGGTTGCAAAATTCCGATAACCTTCCCAAGAATTGGTGTAACACAATCATGCAAGTATATGCACACTACACAGCACTGTACTCAGCTGTAAGTGAAGCATTTGAAGTGAGTTTGCCTGAGGTATCGGCCGTTGCTATGTTCAGGTGTAAATCTATGTTTCGATTCCATCTTCTATTATTATTGGATGTGTAATGATATGATTGTGTATGCAAATGTAATCCATGTATATGAGATATTATGTACTTTATAACATTAATTATGCCCTTGCTGCCTTATGATTGTACTTAATTTGAACACTTTTTTCAAATTTGTGTCTTCTTCAATGTACTATAACCTTAATGTGCATAACACAAATAGCAGCATGAAGAATGTGAAATATCAATCCCTTCTTTACGTCAACAATATCCAGATTTGGCTTCATCATGAATTGGTCAGATAGTTTCCAAAAACCTTTTTAGTGTCTTACTGTAAAGCTAGACTGGACAGGTATTTTCAAAGCGAGTTTATTGCATTTAAGTCCCGTTGAAGCTGTGCGTTGGTTGGCTCTTCAACTGTGGAGTTTCCAGTGACGAGGTAAGAACTGGATAAACTAGGGTAGCTCTCCCCCAGAGTAGCCTGGCCTCTTGGCCTGCAGGGCTCTTCAGCTGTACAGAGCTTTGGTGGAAGGCCAGAGTGCCTCAGCTTGCTTAGGCACTGGGCATAATTCTTCTCAGCTTCTCAGTGTCATATCATGATGAGATATGATGCCTCTTTCTGCAGGTCAACTTTAGTTTTGTGTCTCTTACTTCTCCTGTTGATTTTCTCTGCTCTGCTCTCTGTATCAAGGTTTCCTTTGGTGACACATCCTTTTAAAATGGAAATGTTACTTTTAATGCAAACTTGCGCAAATGGGTTCCTCATTTCATCACAGTAGCGTCCCGCCCAGTAGGGTGTTTGGGCGGCGCCCCGCTTGTGATTGGTAAAACAAACAAAAATATATACACTGCTCAAAAAAATAAAGGGAACACTAAAATAACACATCCTAGATCTGAATGAATGAAATAATCTTATTAAATACTTTTTCTTTACATAGTTGAATGTGCTGACAACAAAATCACACAAAAATTATCAATGGAAATCAAATGTATCAACCCATGGAGGTCTGGATTTGGAGTCACCCTCAAAATTAAAGTGGAAAACCACACTACAGCCTGATCCAACTTTGATGTAATGTCCTTAAAACAAGTCAAAATGAGGCTCAGTAGTGTGTGTGGCCTCCACGTGCCTGTATGACCTCCCTACAGCGCCTGGGCATGCTCCTGATGAGGTGGCGGATGGTCTCCTGAGGGATCTCCTCCCAGACCTGGACTAAAGCATCCGCCAACTCCTGGACATTCTGTGGTGCAACGTGGCGTTGGTGGATGGAGCGAGACATGATGTCCCAGATGTGCTCAATTGGATTCAGGTCTGGGGAACGGGCGGGCCAGTCCATAGCATCAATGCCTTCCTCTTGCAGGAAGTGCTGACACACTCCAGCCACATGAGGTCTAGCATTGTCTTGCATTAGGAGGAACCCAGGGCCAACCGCACCAGCATATGGTCTCGCAAGGGGTCTGAGGATCTCATCTCGGTACCTAATGGCAGTCAGGCTACCTCTGGCGAGCACATGGAGGGCTGTGCGGCCCCCCAAAGAAATGCCACCCCACACCATGACTGACCCACCGCCAAACCGGTCATGCTGGAGGATGTTGCAGGCAGCAGAACGTTCTCCACGGCGTCTCTAGACTCTGTCACGTCTGTCACGTGCTCAGTGTGAACCTGCTTTCATCTGTGAAGAGCACAGGGCGCCAGTGGCGAATTTGCCAATCTTGGTGTTCTCTGGCAAATGCCAAACGTCCTGCACGGTGTTGGGCTGTAAGCACAACCCCCACCTGTGGACGTCGGGCCCTCATACCACCCTCATGGAGTCTGTTTCTGACCGTTTGAGCAGACACATGCACATTTGTGGCCTGCTGGAGGTCATTTTGCAGGGCTCTGGCAGTGCTCCTCCTGCTCCTCCTTGCACAAAGGTGGAGGTAGCAGTCCTGCTGCTGGGTTGTTGCCCTTCTACAGCCTCCTCCACGTCTCCTGATGTACTGGCCTGTCTCCTGGTAGCGCCTCCATGCTCTGGACACTACGCTGACAGACACAGCAAACCTTCTTGCCACAGCTCGCATTGATGTGCCATCCTGGATGAGCTGCACTACCTGAGCCACTTGTGTGGGTTGTAGAATCTGTCTCATGCTACCACTAGAGTGAAAGCACCGCCAGCATTCAAAAGTGACCAAAACATCAGCCAGGAAGCATAGGAACTGAGAAGTGGTCTGTGGTCACCACATGCAAAATCAGTCCTTTATTGGGGGTGTCTTGCTAATTGCCTATAATTTCCACCTGTTGTCTATTCCATTTGCACAACAGCATGTGAAATGTATTGTCAATCAGTGTTGCTTCCTAAGTGGACAGTTTGATTTCACAGAAGTGTGATTGACTTGGAGTTACATTGTGTTGTTTAAGTGTTCCCTTTATTTTTTTGAGCAGTGTATATATTTTTAAAGAACATATACAGTATATTATATTATAGTTTTAAATGCTCATAAATGTGTGGTAAATATGTAAATTTGCCTGTTTCAAAAATATATTGTTCAAAACAAGTTGTTCAGTTATTTACTACTCTGGTCTCAGTGACTGCCAGCAGCTCCGCGGGCGCATAGGCCATGCGAACATTGCTTAGATTGCTTTGCCAGCTGTTTTCTATGAGGGAGAACTGCCCCCAATGAAATCACAGGATTTCATTGCATGAATTATAACAGCACAAAGCAAATGGACTGTCCTGGGATGCTCAAATGTGCGCTGAGTCAGAACTTCTGGGTCTGCTCTAGTCTCCCTCCCAATGAGTTTCTCGCGCCAGGTGGATTTCTGCCGCACGTAAGACAAATCTGCTCTGTCAGGTACAGATGGTGCTAAACCAAAAAACAAATAGCAATGAACTTGTAAATAAATAATCATAACAGTCATGGGAGCCTGGGACCTGATAAACCAGACTTTTACATCCAAGAAGAGTCAAAGGACAGAGGGATACACAAGCTAGAACCTTCTCATCGCGGATCTGGTAGGACAAAAAAGCATGACTGTGGCTGGCCAATTTTATTGTTTCCCCCCACAGTGTTCATCAGGTTTTACTGTAGGTGACAGGGAGACATGTTGTGTGGACTAAAACAGCATAAAAGCGGGTGAATCACAACGCATGATCAAATTATTAGCCAGTTACAGTAATTTTGAGAAACATTGAGAAATAGTTTGGTCATTTCTTGGGGTCAAATAACCAGTTATCTACCTTTGATAAGCAACAAGCTCTCTATAGCTAGCTCCCACGCCAATTTCAAGTCTTTCTAAACTAATATGAGGAAATATGAGGTTATTTCAGAATGAACGTTAACGGGCTAGCGCATCATGCTTTGTGACATTATTTTAGCTAGAAATCCCAAGTTAGATCATGTGTTTTCACTTATTGTATCTGCATGCTTGTTGCGTTCTCCCTGGTGCACTCATTCCTTCGTGAGCTGGCTGCTAGTTCTAAATAGTATAATCTAATCTATTCAAAACAGTGGCAGCATGTGCAGCAGTGCTCATTTGGTTTTTTACATGCCAAAGTGAAATAGGTGTATTTATACTGTTGTTCAAATGCACAGATTGCTTTATATATCTTCTCAAAGAAACTACCGGTAGATCAGCCAATCAGCAGCCGCCACCGGTTTATCATCTAGAAACCTATTAGAGGAGAGATGGTTTCAACATCTGACACGTTGAGAGTTGTAGCATTGGCTGTGCTTTGTCTAACGCCAACATTGGCAATACATATCTTTTATCCTCTTTTTGCATCTGGGAAACTCAAAAGTCAGTGGATTTTCAAGTGGTGGAACAAAGCTGTATTTAAGCATGTTTTATTCTGTGAGTCTGAGTCTGTTTGGTAAAACAATGCAGATTATTTACATGCAGGGGACTTGGGTAATTAATAGTGCGTCGACAACGGACATCCACAATGAATACATTCTGGATGTTGGCTAATAATGTGACAACTCTATTGTATAGCTTGTATCCATAGTCTTTTCACAGAAATGTCTTTTAATGTGTCTACTCTGGGCCAAGAGTGTGCTGTGAGGACAAGTCTCATCACGTATCTATCTCCTCACACAGCTCGCCCAGTTTCCTACCCCCATTGTTCCTTCCTTTGGTTTGAAAAATGTATCCTCTTTGACTGGAAATGTTTGTTTTAAAGTATAAATGTTCACCATTCTCCATTTCAGATGTGCTGCTGGGTACACAGGCAACCCCCAGCTCGGCCAGAGGTGTAGTGTTGGCAACAATGACCTCAACGGTATGTATATGGATTATTCAATTCAATATAGCTTTATTTATCCCCTCAGGGGCAGTTAAGAGTGTTATTACACAGTGCTAACAGGCTGCAGCTGTTAGAAACACAATTTAAATGATAGTATTTGATAGAATGAAGGCACACAGAGTGAAAACCTCTGCTGTGGCATGTTTACAGGTAACTGCTACAACTGTGACCAGAGAGGAAGTGAAGGATGCAATGGAAATGGTGTGTGTCGCTGCAAGGTAAGCAAACCAAGGCTTCTGTAAGTATTTCCTAATAACCACCATCCGCATTGACATCTCCCAACCCATCACTCAGATGGGGGCAGTATAGGAACATCATGGCAAAACCTGTAAGTCTGGCCAAATTTCTACCCCCAGACTCAGGCTGCTGAATAGCCACCACTAGCCAGCTACCTGCTCCCTCCTCAACGGACATTTACCCTGCTCCCACCCCAATGGACATTTATCATTGCCACAGTTGTTAATATGTATATATTATTATTTCTGTTTTATTATTATCTATTTTTATTATATTTGTATTGTTTTATTTAACTTTGTCCTGCATAATTTCACTGTACCCTGTAATTACATCTGCAGCCCTGTACATGTGACTATTAAACTCTCTAAATCTAAATCTAAATATCCTTATCCACTTCTGAGGGTTACTTCCGTGAGATAGTTTGTCCCATAGAAATAGAATTACTAGCATGGCATTCCCATTCAAGTCAATGTTCTATTTCTATGGTTAGTTCCCCTCTCACACTATAAATCATTGTGTTCCAGATGAACGTCGAGGGCCCTGCCTGCTCCAACTGTAAGCAGGGAACCTTTCACATCAGCACAGACAACAAAGATGGCTGCCTGTCCTGCTTCTGCATGGGCGTCACACAGCAGTGCTCCAGCTCCTCCAACTACAGAGACCAGGTACCCAGGCAACAAGAACTAGGAAACTACTACCTTAATAAAATAAATGAGTAAAGTATTTTTTTGTGTAATTGATTTGTATATACTGTACACTGAACTTGAGCTGAAATAAAAGATCACAGAAATGTTCTAAATGCACAAAAAGCTTATTTCTCTCAAATGTTGTGCTCAAATTTGTTTACATCCCTGTTAGTGAGCATTTCTCCTTTGCCAAGATAATCCATACACCTGACAGGTGTGGCATATCAAGAAGCTGATTAAATAGCATGATCATTACACAGGTGCCCCTTGTGCTGGGGACAATAAAAGGCCACTCTAAAATGTGCAGTTTTGTCACACAACACAATGCCACAGATGTCTCAAGTTTTGAGGGAGCGTGCAATTGGCATGCTGACTGCAGGAATGTCCACCAGAGCTGTTGCCAGAGAATTTAATGTTAATTTCTCTACCATAAGCCGCCTTTAACGTCGTTTTAGAGAATTTGGCAGTACGTTCAACCGGCCTCACAACCGCAGACCACGTGTATGGCGTTGTGTGGGCGAGCGGTTTGCTGATGTCAACGTTGTGAACAGAGTGCCCCATGGTGGCGGTGGGGTTATGGTATGGGCAGGCAGGCAGGCATAAGCTACGGACAATGAACACAATTGCATTTTATCGATAGCAATTTGAATGCACAGAAATACTGTGATGAGATCCTGAGGCCCATTGTGAGGCCCATTTTTTAACGGTATCTGTGACCAACAGATGCCTATCTGTATTCGCTGTCATGTGAAATCCCTAGATTAGGGCCTAATTTATTTATTTCAATTGACTGATTTCTTCATATGAACTGTAACTCAGTAAAATCTTTGAAATAGTTGCATGTTGCATTTATATTTTTGTTCAGTATAGATATGTATAGTGTAATTGTTGTTTATTGATGTGATCTGCGAAAGAGACCGTGGTCTCAGCATGACTCCCGGCTTAAATAAAGGTTAAATTAAAAAATATATATGAAGATAGCACTTTGAGTGTAGGCTGGCCCTGGTCCCAGATTATTTTGAGTTTGACATGACAATGACCAATACAAGAATTGGCAATTCAACACACAAACCGATACTTACAGCTACTTTGAGAGCACTCCAATTGCCAATAAAGCTCTTCTGAACTGAATTAAACGATTCCATTTTCTGAAGCTTTTCCTGTCTCTCTGAGTGAGACTGGTTGATCATTCCTTCCTCTGTGTCCTGCAGGTGTCGTCCATCTTTGTCCCTGGCAACTTCCAGGGCTTTGCTTTGGTCAACCGGCAGCGCACCAACCGTATCTCCACCGGCTTCACCGTGGAAGTATCCACCGATGGCACACAGCTCTCCTATAGCAACTTTGACTACCTGGGCCAGGAGCCCCACTACTGGCAGCTGCCTGGGGTCTACCAGGGGGACAAGGTGAGTCACAGATGATGATCTGGCCAACTGGCCAGCAGAGACTTTCCATACTCCTGTGGACCTCAGCTCAATCCCAGCTTCCTGGTGCTTTCTATGATGCAAAGCGGCTTCTTCTCGTGCTGAAAACCTTTACATTCCTGCTTCTCTGGCACCTAAATGCTCAATGTTCTCTCTCAAATTCTTCTTAATTAAGTAGCCTGACTTTCTGAGTAAGAGCTGATCTTCTCTTGCTGTGAAATGGGTTTGCTAAATGAGTTATAATAGAGAACACTGAGTGTGAATGTCCTCGTAGTGGCAAATGTGGAGGCAGAGTTTGGTTGTATACTCCATGAATTCACAATTTATTACTAGGGTTAGAACCTCACCAGAAAGCCTTAGCAGTCTCTGAGATAGTACACAGTACTTTGTTTGTTGATGCATATTCTTTTAGACACCATCACATGATTACATTTTCATTGGTCTTGATGAGATTATGGTTATTTAAGCATCAACAAAGTGTTTAATTGCTTTTTCATTTCTTGGTTTGCCTGTCAACTCTATAGAAGGAAGCTTTCTTTGCTCGTATGAGACGAGCACACCAGGTAAACCAGAGTGGTACTTGTCGTGTGGTGATGATTGAGCATACAGTATCATACTTATTGTGAACAATTGATGACTAAAATGTACACTTGTAATTCAAACAAAGGATAGGTGTGATTTGGCATTTGATCGTACTGATTGGTGTCCAGTATTTTGATAAATGTTTCATACATAAACCATAACAATTTTTCTTGAATGTAGGTTTTTGTGTTTGAGATGCATGGATTGCCTGCATAGTTTTCCAATGGCCTCTAATTTGTCCTAGTTTTAGTGCAGTTGTAGCAGCAATCAACATCCAGTACTTGCTCTATTTTCACACAATATTAGTAATATTTTAGCTTCATATCAAATCAAATGTTATTGGTCGCATACACATGTTTAGCAGATGTTATTGTGGGTGTAGCGAAATGCTTGTGTTCCTAGCTCCAACAGTGCAGTAATATCTAACAATACACACAAATCTAAAAGTAAAAGAATGGAATTTAAAAAAATTCCAATGGCACATTGTGTTTGCTAATCCATGTTTATCATTTTAAAAGGCTAATTGATCATTAGAAAACACTTTTCCAATTATGTCAGCAGAGCTGAAAACTGTCTCAACTTCAGCAGTGAAGAGGCGACTCCGGGATGCTGACCTTCTAGGCAGAGTTGCAAAGAAAAAGCCATATCTCAGACTGCCCATATCAATATTCTATGGCTTTTTCTTTGCAACTCTGCCTAGAAAGTCAGCATCCCGGAGTCGCCTCTTCACTGTTGACGTTGAGACTGGTGTTTTGCGGGTACTATTTAATGAAGCTGCCAGTTGAGGACCTGTGAGCTGTCTGTTTCTCAAACTAGACACTAATGTATTTGTCCTCTTGCTCAGTTGTGCACTGGGCAATCCCACTCCTCTTTCTATTCTGGTTAGAGTCAGTTTGCGCTGTTCTGTGAAGGGAGTACTACACAGCGTTGTACGAGATCTTCAGTTTCTTGGCAATTTCTCACATGGAATAGCCTTCATTTCTCAGAACAATAATAGACTGACGAGTGTCAGAAGAAAGTTATTTGTTTCTGGCCATTTTGAGCCTGTAATCGAACCCACAATTGCTGATGCTCCAGATACTCAACTAGTCTCAAGAAGGCCAGTTTTATTGCTTCTTTAATCAGCACAACAGTTTTCAGCTGTGCTAACATAATTGCAAAAGGGTTTTCTAATGATCAATTATCCTTTTAAAATGATAAACTTGGATTAGCAAACACAACGTGCCATTGGAACACAGGACTGATGGTTGCTGATAATGGGCCTCTGTACGCCTATGTAGATATTCCATTAACAATCAGACGTTTCCAGCTACAATAGCAATTTACAACATTAACAATGTCTACACTGTATTTCTGATCAATTTGATGTTATTTTAATGGAGAAAAAAAATGATTTTCTTTCGAAAACAAGGACATTTCTAAGTGACCCCAAACTTTTGAACGGTAGTGTGTATATATATACATTTGAAGTCAGAAGTTTACATACACCTTAGCCAAATACATTTAAACTCAGTTTTTCATAATTCCTGACATTTAATCTAGTAAAAATTCCCTGTCTTAGGTCAGTTAGGATCACCACTTTATTTTAAGAATGTGAAATGTCAGAATAATAGTAGAGAGAATGATTTATTTAAGCTTTTATTTCTTTCATCACATTCCCAGTGGGTCAGAAGTTTACAGACACTCAATTAGTATTTGGTAGCATTGCCATTAAATTGTTTAACTTGGGTCAAACGTTTCGGGTAGCCTTCCACAAGCTTCCCACAATAAGTTGGGTGAATTTTGGCCCATTCTTCCTGACAGAGCTGGTGTAACTGAGTCAGGTTTGTAGGCCTCCTTGCTCGCACACGCTTTTTCAGTTCTGCCCATTTGTGATGGCCACTCCAATACCTTGACTTTGTTGTCCTTAAGCCATTTTTCCACAACTTTGGAAGTATGCTTGCGGTCATTGTCCATTTGGAAGACCCATTTGCGACCAAGCTTTAACTTCCTGACTGATGTCTTGAGATGTTGCTTCAATATATCCACATAATTTTCCTTCCTCATGATGCCATATATTTTGTGAAGTGCACTGTGAAGTGCACTTCCTGCAGCAAAGCACCCCCACAGCATGATGCTGCCACCCCCGTGCTTCACGGTTGGGATGGTGTTCTTTGGCTTGCAAGCCCCCCTTTTTCATCCAAACATAATGATGGTCATTATGGCCAAACAGTTCTATTTTTTTTATTGTTTGATCTTTGTCCCCATGTGCAGTTGCAAACCGTAGTCTGGCTATTTTATGGCGATTTTGGAGCAGTGGCTTCTTCCTTGCTGAGCGGCCTTTCAGGTTATGTCGATATAGGACTCGTTTTACTGTGGATATAGATACTTTTGTACCTCTTTGTTCCAGCATCTTCACAAGGTCCTTTGCTGTTGTTCTGGGATTGATTTGCACTTTTCGCACAAAAATATTTTCCTCTCTAGGAGACACAACGCGTCTTCTTCCTGAGCGGTATGACGGCTGCGTGGTCCCATGGTGTTTATACTTGCATACTATTGTTTGTACAGATGAACGTGGTACCTTCAGGTGTTTGGAAATTGCTCCCAAGGATGAACCAGACTTGTGGAGGTCTACAACCTTTTTTCTGAGGTCTTGGCTGATTTCTTTTGATTTTCCCATGATGTTCAAGCTTAGAGGCACTGAGTTTGAAGGTAGGCCTTGAAATACATCCACAGGTACACCTCCAATTGACTCAGATGATGTCAATTAGCCTATCAGAAGCTTCTAAAGCCATGACATCATTTTCTGGAATTTTCCAAGCTGTTTAAAGGCACAGTCAACTTAGTGTATGTAAACTTCTGACCCACTGGAATTGTGATACAGTGAATTATAAGTGAAATAATCTGTCTGTAAACAATTGTTGGAAATAAATACTTGTGTCATGCACAAAGTTGATGTCCTAACCGACTTGCCAAAACTATAGTTGGTTAACAAGAACAAGACATTTGTGGAGTGGTTGAAAAACAAGTTTTAATAAACTTCTGATTTCAACTGTATATTAACACTACCAGTCAAAAGTTTGGACACACCTACTCATTCAAGGGTTTTTCTTAATTTTTACTATTTTTTACATTGTAGAATAATAGTAAAGACATCAAAACTATGAAATAACACATATGGAATCATGTAGTAACCAAAAAAAAAGTGTTAAACAAATCAAAATATAGTTTATATTTGAGATTCTTCAAATAGCCACCCTTTGCCTTGATGACAGCTTTGCACACTCTTGGCATTCTCTCAACCAGCTTCATGAGGTTGTCGCCTGGAATGCATTTCAATTAACAGGTGTGCCCACTTAAAAGTTCATTTGTGGAATTTCTTAATGCATTTGAGCCAATCAGTTTTGTTGTGACAAGGTAGGGGGATATACAGAAGAGAGCCCTATTTGGTAAAAGACCAAGTCCATATTATGGGAAGAACAGCTCAAATAAGCAAAGAGAAACGACAGTCCATCATTACTTTAGGACATGAAGGTCAGTCAATACGGAACATTTCAAGAACTTTGAAAGTTTATTGAAGTGCAGTCGCAAAAACCATCAAGCGCTATGATGAAACTTACTCTCATGAGGACTGCCACAGGAATGGAAGACCCAGAGTTACCTCTGCTGCAGAGGATAAGTTCATGAGAGTTACCAGCCTCAGAAATTGCAGCCCAGATAAATGCTTCACAGAGTTCAAGTAACAGACACATCTCAACATCAACTGTTCAGAGGAGACTGTGTGAATCAGGCCTTCATGGTGGAATTGCTGCAAAAAAACCACTACTAAAGGACACCAATAAGGAGAAGAGACTTGCTTGGGCCAAGAAACACGAGCAATGGACATTAGACCGGTGGAAATGTGTCCTTTGGTCTGGAGTCCAAATTGGAGATTGTTGGTTCCAACCGCCGTGTCTTTGTGAGACGCGGTGTGGGTGAATGGATGATCTCCGCATGTGTATTTCCCACCGTAAAGCATGGAGGAGGAGGTGTTATGGTGTGGGGGTGCTTTGCTGGTTACACTGTCTGTGATTTATTTAGAATTCAAGGCACACTTAACCAGCATGGCTACCACAGCATTCTGCAGTGATACGCCATCCCATCTGGTATGGGCTTAGTGGGACTATCATTTGTTTTTCAACAGGACAATGACCCAACACACCTCCAGGCTGTGTAAGGGCTATTTTACCATGAATGAGAGTGATGGAGTGCTGCATCAGATGACCTGGCCTCCACAATCCCCCGACCTCAACCCAATTGAGATGGTTTGGTCTGCATCGCAGTGCTAGCTGTGCCACTAGAGATCCTGGTTCGAGTCCAGGCTCTGTCGCAGCCGGCCGCGACCGGGAGACCCATGGGCGGCGCACAATTGGTCCAGCGTCGTCCAAGATAGGGGAGGGTTTGGCCGGCAGGGATGTGGGTTCGTTTCCCACGGGGGGCCAGTATAAAAAAACATTTAAAAAAAACATGTATGCATTCACTAACTGTAAGTCGCTCTGGATAAGAGCATCTGCTAAATGACTAAAATGTAAAATGTAATGAGTCGGACCGCAGATTGAAGGAAAAGCAGCCAACAAGTCCTTAGCATATTTGGGAACTCCTTTAAGCTGGTTGAGAGAATGCCAAGAGTGTGCAAAGCTGTCATTAAGGCAAAGGGTGGCTACTTTGAAGAATCTCAAATATAAAATATACACTGCTCAAAAAAATAAAGGGAACACTTAAACAACACAATGTAACTCCAAGTCAATCACACTTCTGTGAAATCAAACTGTCCACTTAGGAAGCAACACTGATTGACAATACATTTCACATGCTGTTGTGCAAATGGAATAGACAACAGGTGGAAATTATAGGCAATTAGCAAGACACCCCCAATAAAGAAGTGGTTCTGCAGGTGGGGACCACAGACCACTTCTCAATTCCTATGCTTCCTGGCTGATGTTTTGGTCACTTTTGAATGCTGGCGGTGCTTTCACTCTAGTGGTAGCATGAGACGGAGTCTACAACCCACACAAGTGGCTTAGGTAGTGCAGCTCATCCAGGATGGCACATCAATGCGAGCTGTGGCAAGAAGGTTTGCTGTGTCTGTCAGCGTAGTGTCCAGAGCATGGAGGCGCTACCAGGAGACAGGCCAGTACATCAGGAGACGTGGAGGAGGCCGTAGGAGGGCAACAACCCAGCAGCAGGACCGCTACCTCCGCCTTTGTGCAAGGAGGAGCAGGAGGAGCACTGCCAGAGCCCTGCAAAATGACCTCCAGCAGGCCACAAATGTGCATGTGTCTGCTCAAACGGTCAGAAACAGACTCCATGAGGGTGGTATGAGGGCCCAACGTCCACAGGTGGGGGTTGTGCTTACAGCCCAACACCGTGCAGGACGTTTGGCATTTGCCAGAGAACACCAAGATTGGCAAATTCGCCACTGGCGCCCTGTGCTCTTCACAGATGAAAGCAGATTCACACTGAGCACATGTGACAGACGTGACAGAGTCTGGAGACGCCGTGGAGAACGTTCTGCTGCCTGCAACATCCTCCAGCATGACCGGTTTGGCGGTGGGTCAGTCATGGTGTGGGGTGACATTTCTTTGGGGGGCCACACAGCCCTCCATGTGCTCGCCAGAGGTAGCCTGACTGCCATTAGGTACCGAGATGAGATCCTCAGACCCCTTGTGAGACCATATGCTGGTGCGGTTGGCCCTGGGTTCCTCCTAATGCAAGACAATGCTAGACCTCATGTGGCTGGAGTGTGTCAGCACTTCCTGCAAGAGGAAGGCATTGATGCTATGGACTGGCCCGCCCGTTCCCCAGACCTGAATCCAATTGAGCACATCTGGGACATCATGTCTCGCTCCATCCACCAACGCCACGTTGCACCACAGACTGTCCAGGAGTTGGCGGATGCTTTAGTCCAGGTCTGGGAGGAGATCCCTCAGGAGACCATTCGCCACCTCATCAGGAGCATGCCCAGGCGTTGTAGGGAGGTCATACAGGCACGTGGAGGCCACACACACTACTGAGCCTAATTTTGACTTGTTTTAAGGACATTACATCAAAGTTGGATCAGCCTGTAGTGTGGTTTTCCACTTTAATTTTGAGGGTGACTCCAAATCCAGACCTCCATGGGTTGATACATTTGATTTCCATTGATAATTTTTGTGTGATTTTGTTGTCAGCACATTCAACTATGTAAAGAAAAAAGTATTTAATAAGATTATTTCATTCATTCAGATCTAGGATGTGTTGTTTAAGTGTTCCCTTTATTTTTTTGAGCAGTGTATTTTGATTTGTTTAACACTTTTTTGGTTACTACATTATTCCATATGTGTTATTTCATAGTTTTGATGTCTTCACTATTATTCTACAATGTAGAAAATGAGTAGGTGTGTCCAAACCTTTGACTGGTAGTGTATATATATATATATAATATACAGTATACACTACATGACCAAAAGTATGTGGACACCTGCTTGTCGAACATCTCATCCCAAAATCATGGGCATTAATATGGAGTTGACTGAAATGCTTATAATAATTGCATATGGGCGACAACAATCGGTTTTCTGCACCCTATGTATTCTGATATGAGGATAGTTTAAACAGTCTTACTTACCTGGAATGACCTAAAGATGATGCTGCAATAGTGCAAATAAATCTCTCTTCTGTAATAGTTACTTCTTCATGTGTTCAAAGTGGCTGTTTATCGCATCCTAATAACGTTTCAATGGTTCACCTCTCAAAAGCATCTCAGTCTACTTCTCAGCGCGCCTGCTTTTAAAGCCCCACAGACAAATCCGCTAGAATATTCCACCGGATGTGACGAACCAAACTGTCCATTCTTGGTCATGCCACTGTATTGAACAAACTTACAGTATGTGTGATGGGATGTATAGACATTATTGACAGTATGTTGATAGAATATGGTAGGTTACACGCTACACAAAATTGCTTACTTAAAATGCACTCTGTTTAATAGACCATTCACATAGTGGATGACTCAGATATACTTAACTGTACAGCAGTGAATGAGTCATAAGGAGCTTTGCAGACATCCATCTATGATTCATTACTGTGACCATAAACAGTAGTTAAGTTCTAAAACCCTTCCATTAGTTCTAGTTCTAAAGTGTAATGTTAAAGTCTTCCATTAGTTCTAGTTCTAAAGTGTAATGTTAAAGTCTTCCATTAGTTCTAAAGTTCTAAAGTGTAATGTTAAACTCTTCCATTAGTTCTAGTTCTAAAGTGTAATGTTAAAGTCTTCCATTAGTTCTAGTTCTAAAGTGTAATGTTAAAGTCTTCCATTAGTTCTAGTTCTAAAGTGTAATGTTAAAGTCTTCCATTAGTTCTAGTTCTAAAGTCTTCCACTGGCTCCTCCATGGGAAAGTAGAAAGTGATCACAGGAGCCTTGCTTTGTTCACAAAACTAGAGAGACTCTCCCTGGATAGAGGAGCAACTGAGGAAGGATGCGTCCATTTGGGTCTTAATGAAGTCTTTGAAGGGTAATGGCACCTCCAGGTCCAAAAGAGCTAGCCAGGTATTCCTACTGTAGTCTAGCCACTCACTGTTACATCCATACAGCACGTCTACTGACAACAATAGAAACCAACCATCCCCCTCACACAGTGTGACCTCCTTCCCCTAATATGGATTGCCTTTTGGGATGTCATTTTCCATGACATTACTGAAAGATAATACCAACACCCTTAGATATGTGACTGAACATTTACGGTAGCATGGTAGATATAAGCATGAATGCAACTGCAGCACATTGACAGTAAATGTACCAGATGCATGTCGTAAAAAGGCATGTGTGTATTGCAAACAGACCTCAATGAGCATGTGAGGAATGTGAAGAGAAGATAGCCATGTTGTGTCTAATTGCAGACATGTGTGGATGATTTTGTATGTTTTGCGTAAAAGACATCCCTGTTTTAGGATTGTAGAAACTAGAAAGTTGACCGGCCCCAGTCAGTGAAGTTGTGTACACACCACAGGGGTGTAGCCCTGGTAAGAGCAGGACAGCATGTCTCCTTACCTACTCCCAAAGAGCCCAGTGCTTGGTGTGTCTCTTACCTTACATGATGGGAGGTCTTCTTTTGGAACCCCCCTGAGCCCTGTTCTCCTGACTGGTCCTTTGGTTACTAGATCTGCTGCCCCCCTATCCTCTCCCCCAGGAACAAGTGAAGAAGCTGGATGATGAGATCTGGGAAATGATCTCCAACTTTGGCGACAAAGGCTCTCCTCCCTTCCCTCCCTCCTCCTCCTCTTCCTCCTCTTCCTCTGAGAGGAAGATCCCCAGCCACTCCTATCGTGCTGGGTCTCGTACCCACCTGAGGCCCCACTATCCCTCTTCATCCCCCTCTGGTATCTCCTCCCTGGTACGGCCTACTAGGCCTCAGCCAGCCTCCCCCGGCCCCTCCCCTCGACTCCAGGTACATATAAAATAACCCCTCGGAGAAACCCTCAAACATTCAAACTTATTTAGCTCATCCATATGTGTTATTGTGGTCGTTGCTGACTGGTTTACTCTCTGTTTGGGCCTGGTCCTGTTGACAGACTAAACCGCGTGGGACGAAGAACATAGTGGGTCCTCCTAGTGCTCCCAGTGGCCCCAGACCTGCTGGGGTCTCCAGCCTGGTAGACATGACAGTGACAGCCTGACTGACTAACTGATGACTGGCTGACTAAATGACTGACTAACTGGCTGGCTGGCCGGTCGGCTAGCTGACTGGCTGATGGACAGGCGAATGGCTGACTGACTGACTGTGTGATGATTGACTGACTGACTGACTGTCTGACTGACTGACTGATAGACTGACTGTCTGACTGACTGAACGCATGTCCCTGCCCTTGGCACACACAGAGGAAACTGCCACCTTCCATGCGATAACATAATTCATATTTCACAGGGTTATCCTGTACAGTTCACCATAGTATTGGCAAAGTATTAGCTGCCTGAGTCTATTTCAAAAGAACAAGAAAGAGAAGATTGGGCTGAAAAGGGCAGTGTGTGTGTAAATTCCATGGCTAACTAGGGAGGCATTTTCCTCTGGAAAGCACCGAGTGCCCACTAATTGCTGTTAAAGTCGTACTCTGTAATTGTCCACTTAAAGAGTAGTACTGGATCTGTAATTATATTCACCCGTCACACAGTCACCTTAACAAGCTGTGATATTCCCATTACACACACTGGAATCTGTTGTTCTAGTTGCCAGTCAATGCATGGTGTGAGTCTCACTTTGTCACCAAGTACTAGTTAAGTAGTAGAGGACCAAAATGTAAACCCTTTCTCTAAAGGTCTGCTCTACTTAACTCTGTCATGCTTGCCTGCTTGTGATGCCTTTATCTCTCTCCTTGCTTATCTTTTGATCTCTGTCTCTGGCTTACTCTCTCATGCCTCTCCTTCCTGCTCTGCCCCAGTACGCTTTGGTCTACAAAGGTTTCAGCTTGCACCCGGATGACACCCTCTACTGGCAGCTCCCAGATCAGTTCAAAGGGGATAAGGTAACAGTACGAGCCAGACCCAGCCCTCCTGCACCCTGCCTGGGTTTTTGCCCCTCCGGTTAACTCCAGGGCCACAGACAGAACCACCCCACCCCTCCAACTGAACCTTCAGAGCAGGGCTGGGGAAGGAAAGGGCAGCACCACCTGACAACCCTGTGGAGTTTGGAGTTCCTGTTTATATAATCACTTCTATATGTGGTGGGAGGTCAGGCACGACTCATTTGGTGTTGGAAACGATTCATGTCTAAAAGAAATAGAAAGACAGATTGGGATATGAAATCTCTCTGTAATAGATGTAATCATAGATTCACTCGTTTACCTCTTCCTGAAACATTGTAATGTTATAGGCCTATAGTCATATTTGTTTGAATGTCTCGATGTAACGCTCAAAGGCTCACCAACAAAGTTAGATGTAGTATGCAGCCTAATTTCTTTACCTTTACCCATGTTATAGGTGAGCTCCTACGGCGGTAAGCTGAAGTACACCATCTCCTACGTAGCAGGACCTAGAGGAACAGCCATCGAAGACGCTGACGTTCAGATTATTGTAAGTAGCTAATGCACCAAAGTTACCAACTTAATTCATTCACTTTCATGTTCTATTGCTGCATCCATACATCCCACAAGTTATGAACTGAAATCACTTCCATGTATTGTGGTTGCATCCATTCACCTGTCATTGATTGGTTCTCCTTGTCATTGTTTCCCACAGGGAAATGACATCACGCTGGTGGCTCGCCAGCCATGGCAGAGGGGACAGGGGACAAGAGAGTCCCGCCAGTTTGAGGTTGTCTTCAGAGAGGTCAGTGTTCTACAGTAGTACAGATTACCTACATTTTATCAATTCAATTCAATAGAACTTTATTGTCCCCAACTATCAATTTGATTGCAGCCTTTACCATCCATTCCTCATTGACACAGGTCACCCTAGTATCCTAGTAATAGCATAGTATTAACCTAACTCTGCTCTCTCTCTCCTGTAGGAAAACTGGCGTCGTCCAGATGGCATGCCTGCCACTCGGGAACACCTGATGATGGTGCTGGCTGACCTGGATGACATCCTGGTGCGGGCCTCCTACTACACAGAGATGAGGTCCTCCAGCATCTCCGAGGTCAGCATGGAGGTGGCCGTGCCCAACTACAGTGGCCTGGCTCAGGCTCTAGAGGTGGAGCAGTGCCGCTGCCCGCCTGCCTACCAGGGACTCTCCTGTCAGGTAAGAGGATCTCTATCTATCTCTCTCTCTCTCTCTGCCACAGGTGGCAATATTGACAAATTAACCTCAATCTTATGTTTATGTACATTTGAAAACTCAACATAATTATTTTTTACTCCCGGAGAAAGCATGTTCAAAGGAGGACCAGGCTCTGTGTCCGGGAAACCCGCCCTTAGCGTGTCAAGTCCATGTGATGATGTGTGATGAAAGTTGTACCTCCTCTCCCCCAGGACTGTGCTCCTGGCTACACCCGAACCGGAGGTGGCCTGTACCTGGGCCACTGTGAGCTGTGTGAGTGCAACGGGCACTCTGACTCCTGCCACCCAGAGACTGGCATCTGTACGGTATGCAGCCCGGAGAATCTCTTTAAGGCAGTTGTTTTCATTCAATTTTCACTTCATTGATTTAAACTTAATTTATCTAGGTTAGTCTCGTTGAGATCAAATTTATTTTTAGAGGGCCTGGTAGAAGATAACGGTTGTTTTGAAATCAGTACATTGAATAAGATCTGAGTGTCTGCCCCCAGAGCTGCCTCCACAACACCCAGGGAGCGCTGTGTGAGCAGTGTGCCCCGGGCTTCTTTGGGGACCCCACCGCTGGAACCCCAGAGGACTGCCAGCCCTGTGCCTGCCCCCACACAGACCCTGACAACCAGTGAGTAGGCTACGTACATTACAACAGAGAGCTGTTACGCACATAGATGCGTGCATAAATGCTCGCACTAACACTCACACTGACTTTTGTCTTGTGTTGCATTTTAAATGATCTCATTCATATCTCTTACCTCTCATATCTTTTTGGCTATGCCCTCCACCGATACTTGGAACAGATCCAAGTTGATATTATAATTAAGCAATAAGGTCCAAGGGGGTGTGGTATATGGCTGTTCTTATGCACGACGCAATGTGCAGTGGTATATTGGCCATATACCACAAACCCCCAAGGTGCCTTATTGCTATTACCAACATAATTAGAAGAGTAAAAATAACTGTTTTGTCATACCAGTGGTATACGGTCTGATATACCACGGCTGTCAGCCAATCAGCATTCAGGGCTCGAACCACCCAGTTTATAATGCTGAATTAAGTATACTGTACTTCATCTTTCTTCTCTGTGTGTTTTCCAGGTTCTCCCCTATCTGTGAGAGCCTGGGTAACGGTGGTTATCAGTGCACTGCCTGCCAGCCTGGATACACTGGCCAGTACTGTGAACGGTAAGCTGACACAACTCTACTTTAACTCTCTATTCTAGCCTGGTCCCAGATCTGTTTGTGCTGTCCTGTTGACTCCTGTGGCCATTGTCATGCTAAGTGATCATAGGAGTTGGCCATACAGCAGAGACAGAGCTAGGACCAGGCTACTCTATTCAGACTAACTTTTCAATGTTCTCTCTGTGGCATTCCACCATTGTCTGTCAGTCTGTCATCACATTGACTCGTTATGATCCTCGGTTTTACTCCACAGCTGTGCACCTGGATATGTTGGAAATCCACAGGACAGGATTAAGTGTCGTCCATTCAACAGTAAGTGAATGCAGTCAGCAAAAGAGCTGCACAGAAATGTATTTTCCCCATACTTGGCCAGGTCTCCCTTGGGAAAGAGGTATTCTGGACCCAATGGGACTACCTAGTAAAATAATAAATAAAATACTCTACTCTACTGTAACAGTAAGAGTGTATCTCTGTGATCATTGCCAACTAACCTTTGACCCTTAACCTCTGACACAGCAGTGGCAGCCTCTCTGGTGGTGAAGGTATACCCTGAGAGGGTGTTGGTGGCCCAGGGCAGCCCTGTGACCCTGCGGTGCCAGGTGACCGGCTCTCCTCCCCACTACTACTACTGGTCCAGGGAGGACGGACGTCCCATCACCAACAGCGCCGACAGACGCAGACAAGGTAAAGTATACTGGACAGATCAGGTCTGGGTAGTGGAGTGTTTGACATGGCAATACATACACTCATGTAGTCTTATATAGCTGTACCTACAGTATATACTCCTCAGTAAAGACCTTATACTGGTGAAACATCCAGTACTAACTGTAGGAGAGAGCCTATTGAGGTACGAGTCCATTCCCCATGTTAACGTAAGGTAATTCTATATTCCTACCTGTTCTTTCAGGAGAGGAGCTGCATATCCCCAGTGTTCAGCCCAGTGACGCAGGCATCTACGTCTGTACCTGCAGAGACCAACGCAACACCAACAGGAGCCGCGCTGAGATCGTCGTCAGAAGTACTACTTGTTAAATCATTTACATTTTACTGAATGTTGCATTTCCAATACTTTTGTGATTAATTTTTCAGTGATCTTAGTCAGTTGTTGAGTAGTTAAACTGGCTTGAACTTTTAAGCTTTTTTGGGACGTTTTGGCTCCAGCTAAATATGGTTGAAGCTGAGATACAGTAAGTAATACATTTTTTGGCTTTTGAATGTTTACCGAATGGTTTCTGTCCCTTTCTCCAGCTGTCTTATCCAAACCCATTGAAGTGACCATCGAGGAGCCCAAAGCACAGAGTGTCACAGTTGGAGCAGCAGTCAGCTTCATCTGCACAGCCAAGAGCAAGGTAGGACTAGCTTCCAACATGGAGACATTAACACAATCAATTCTGTTTATTTGTATATATCTTGGATGGTTGGCATTGTGCTTAATACATTTGCCCATGAGAGAAAATGGTAGAAAACCTTTCAAACTGTTTAGTATATTATTACACAATTGTCCCCCTTGTATTGGCCCCTCTGTTGCATTGCTTTCTCTCTTACTTGTGTTTACTTCATATCTTGTACCCATCTGTCCCCTCCCCTCCCAGTCTCCAGCCTACACCCTGGTGTGGACCCGGCAGGGTAACGGCAAGCTGCCCAACAGAGCCATGGACTTCAATGGCATCCTGACCATCCAGAACGTCCAGCCTGAGGACGCTGGCATCTACGTGTGTACAGGCTCTAACATGTTTGCCATGGACGAGGGCACTGCCGTCCTCTACGTGCCAGGTTCGTGATCCCAGACAGGCGCCATCATACTGTTAGCCATCAGCCTCTATATACCACCCTACAAGCTCTATTCCTTTCCTCAGCCCTTCCTCGAATGGGGCATGCCCCTGCTTGCTTTGGCTTTGCCTCCGTCCCCCTATATCATGCACTGCTTTAAATGTGTTTATCTGTCCGCACCCTAGCTTCTGGCAAACAGCATAACCCTGTCACTCCGACTCCCAACTCTCACTTTCTAAACTCAGACAACCTCTCTCATGTCAAACCCTTCAAATCTCTCTCTACGCTACCTTTTTCTGATGTTGGTGTCTCTGTCTTTCTAACAATGATTTGACCTTCTTACTCTGTATAAAATCTTTATGGTTCCAGGGGCAATATACAGCTTGTGGATATTATAATTATTTTATAATACAAAATAATGAAAAGGTCCATAATTGTAAGATATGTGTATGGTTTGTCCAAGAAATCATAGCATACAGTAGTCCTCAATGCTACCAAAGCCCAAAGATATCTCCCACTGAAGAGTTTCAAGTAGATTTAGTTACTATGCACTGTCACCACCCCCAATGGATTTACCAAAGAAGGTTGTTTTGCCCAGTGGAATACAGTTTATTCATTTTCAAGTTGCTTCTTGGTTTAATACTCAGTGATGACTGATCAATCCTTTGAATTGGGTCTCTGTTGCCATCAGTGATATCTCCGCTCTGATCTCTAGCTGTTGCTGTCATAAGAGGGGTTCATGTAATCAGTGGTGGTAGTGGTAGTGGTGGTGGTCTGGTAACTTTTCAATCACTTGAACACTAGTTTCTGCCACTGCAGATTTCCTTACTAGCAGGGTGTTGGTTATTTGGTATCTTTCCTGAAGTCTGCAACCCTGGCTGGGACTGGTGGTGGTTTCTCCTTGAGCTGTAGTGGTTGATGAGGTACATGGATGACAAAATGGGTGATTAGTGACTGACTGGGAGGGACCGACATTCAAAAAGGACTTCAGTCTATCACCACCGGGACATAAATGTACTTTACAGTATAGTAAAAGGACTGTACTGAGTCTACTTACCCCATCACGATCCCTATCGTCACACAGGAACAGAAGCAATCACACTCTGTTTAAAAACCAGATCCTTTGTTACTTTCCTGATTGTTTTGATGAATGTTAATGTTGACAATGGTGCTATCAGCCTTGTAGCAGGTGAAGATACCTGTGGTTGAACTTTAAACTTTAGGTTAGTAGTATATCTATCTATGGCTGCTTTTATTGTCTGTTATCTGGATCTGAGTAGTAAGAGGGTTCAAGGCATTGCATTGCCAATAGTAAGTAAGGCGTCTTGTTTTGCATCGTACTATCCAGTAAGTGTTAATTAGACTAAAAGAAAATGTGTTGAAGATTTGACTTGAAATTTGAAAGATCATTGAAACTAGTTTGATTTCAATGCTTTCACAAATCAACTTGCGTATGTCACACGTGTTGCATAGATTTTTTATTGCAGTTCAACATTTTCATATTTTTTAAATCAAGGGCAAATCATATTTTTTCATTGATTCACTTTTTTAAACCTAAATGTTATCCAAACATAGTATATTTTGACTGTACTATCAAATTGGATAAAAGTTAACTAACGACTACATACCTTGATTTATATAGTGATATATTAGTTAGATAGTAATTGATTTTAGAGAATAGGCAGTACTCATGCATTTACTTACATGATAAAAGCATGGTTTACAATTATTTTGAGAACAAGATCAAAAGTTTATAATAATTTTCAATGTTTTGTCAGTGCATTTTTATGTTTTAAATGTTTCTCGTCAAACATTGTTTAAATATATTTTGTTGTTGTTGATATACAGTATCTTATTAAGAGAAAAAAAGAGAGATTCGGTGGCTGAAATATGCCTATTCAAATCTCACTGGTGTGCCGATAGAGACAGAAGACGCAATCCACACACAGTTTGAGATGCCTCAGCATGCTACTATGTTATTTCAGTTTGAACTTTTCATTTCAACTTTTATAACTATTATTTTACACTGTATTTAAATAATCTAGATATCCAAAGGTGCTGTTTCAAATACATTCTATTGTACACTATACTATGTACTGATTTGATTTCTTTTTAATGCCTAACTGATGTAACATACAAATATCACAATGTATTTTATTTATCTTAACTGTGAAAATGTTTGAGAAAAATATAAATTTTATTAAAGTAATGATATAGACCAAAGATATGACACAGAGTCATGCAGAGTGAGACTTCAATGGAACAGAATATATTACCACCCTCAGGGTACAAGGCACCAGACCTTCGTATGGAATTACTTTTGGATGTATTGTAAATCAACTAATTGTAAGGTGCCGATGTAATGGCATTAATGACTATCAGACCCTTCTTCACTATGGCCTACTTGTCAAGGATAAGCCAACCCACCATTGTTTAAACCACAAGCTGTATATGGTTGAAAACATAAAGAGAACCATTATTGAGAACCATTCTAAACACAAATCGAATGGTTCAATCAATGGAAGTAAAGTTTTTACAACTAATTTAGTTTGTATAACGACTAACATGCATGTTTTGTGTGTGGCTCTCAGTTCTCTTTGTGCTTGTTTGTAATCAGTCCGACCATACCGTTTTCATTGTTGTGTTCTTGTCTCATTGTGTTCTGTGCATGTTTGTGAAGTAGAACTAGTTGACTTTAAATCCACAGGTTCTCTCACTGAGTAGACACATTCACTGTTACACCAGCAAATGACCATAGTTCATATCAGTAATACGTTTTATACAGCAAAGCAAACATTTCAACACAGCACTGTATGTTGTATGAACACAATGACACAATCTCCAAGGTGATATGCCCTCTATCTTAACCAATATCCACAGAACCATGTCCCAGAAATCACACAATTACTAACATTGTATCCAAGGGTAAGTATGTAATGATTGTGAATATATAAAACTATGAATGCAATAGCACCATCTCTGACCATCATAAAAAAGACACCTCTTACTCTTTAGTCTGCATGGGATGTAATGTCTGAATCAGAGGACCTCAATGTTGCATGCCTCTAAATCCCAGAAAATTGACAGATCTCTTTGAAGACATGGGCTAGTGTTCCCAATACCCCAATTATATTTCCTTATTTGGCTTTAGATCTGAATTGGAGAAACAATTTGAATACTTTGAATACATGATGTGAAAGGTGGTGCCTATTGCGTTCAAGTTATGTTATGTTCCTTGCCGATCATTCTGCTGTTGTATTGTTGTGTCTTGTGCATTTTGGAAAATCACTGGCACAAGAAACACCAGGCAGTACTTGGATGGACCACAGCATTCTGAGTACTGATTGAGCCACAGGCTCAGTGGGAGGAGCATTGGATGATGATTCCAATGCCAGTGTTCCATCGTTGCCCTGGAGACTCACATGTCAGTTTGCCTGTCATGTCCCTCCCTCCTCCTTTCCCCATTTCCAGAGGCCTCACAGACTCAGATGTTTTACACAGCCTATGAAATGTTTGAAGGACATGGAAAGCGTAAGTGGGCATGGCATGGCCACACCTCTCCACCACACCTCCACCTCATCCCTGGAGGGCTCCTCCCTCTCTCTGTCACGCATGCATTCATCTACCTCTGCCTTCAGCATGGATATGGTGGTCTGGTAATGCCCATATACAATCAACCATAGGGATTACATACAGTTTACACTTCACATAAGGTTGTAGGGTTATACGCTTCACTGGACTATCAATGTAATAGAATGAATCTGCAAAGTTATTCATTCAAATATAAAGGTGCAAGTCTTATTGCTTGCTCTGCATTTCGTCTCCTCAAACATACAGAATATGAAACTGTCCTCTTGATAACATATGATAATATGTTGACATACAGTATCATGATCATATATGTTCATAATACTCTTGACACCATATAGACTTTAGTTATGATAGTACAGAATAGATTGTACATGTGCATTACTAGGTCTTGCCTGGCTCATCTGGCTACTATGGTATGGGTCCATTGGTGCAGGTGCATGCTCATTCATGTGGGAAGCTCCTCTCGAATGTTGAGTCCAGTTATCAACTTTAGTTTTCACCCATTAAGTCCCTCATGCACTTCATCTCAGGTCCCCTCAGGTTTTCCATCTGCACAAAACATTCACACTCACTTTTTTAACACCCCACTAGTATACGACAACAACTAATGCACATTTTATTACAGTCATCTGACCGATATCAGATCTCCATCTTTATCTTATAACCTCAAGTATCTGATGCATTTAGAGAGAAATGTACATACTCAATAAGACATTCTAGAATATTCTTATAACCTCAAGTATCTGATGCATTTAGAGAGAAATGTACATTCTCAATAAGACATTCTAGAATGTTCTTATAACCTCAAGTATCTGATGCATTGAGAGAGAAATGTACATACTCAATAAGACATTATAGAATGTTCTTATTTCCCTCATTCTATCTAGACTTGAGTACTTAGCTTGTTCTCTTCCAATCAGCACTCAACACAGAGGAGACACCACTCACACTTTCCCCATCTGCATTCCGCTTGACGGTCCCACACAGGGACACACACTGTTCTGGAATAGCTGTCATATTGTGCTTCAAACATCATGCTGTGCCTAATACACCACATCACGATCATGGCTGTTAGCTCACTGGAGCCCAGGGGGAGAACTATCTGCCATTCCTCTCATCGTGCTCACCTCCCCCTGGACAGATATCATCCTTCAACCGTCTGACACACTGAATGTTTCAATAAGATATACTGTATACTTAATGGCCTGTCGTAACCTCACCACCCACTTACTGAAATTCTCTATTCTACATTACTAAGTTCACATAGGTCAACTGAGGTAGGTCACCATGTCTCAATATTGAGACAAGCTAAATCATAAGATCAATTTGAGAAAGTGTACTAGTCAGTGCTCAGGCTCTCAGAAAACAAAGATGATGAAATATAGTCAGTCTCTCTCTCAGGTCAGTGAGTCCCAGAACCAGACCAGGGCTTAGCTCGGAGATGAGATAGCCTGATAGTCCTCCCTGGACGCTGAAAGGGCGCTTTATTTTGCTCTGTTGCCCTGGGATCAGATGGGATTCAATGTGGCTGGGGATCAGCGGCCAGCCAAGCTGGCACAGAGAGCCATGTGCCCTGCCAAGGCCAGCCTGCCACCTCTCATCTGTGTCGGCTGCACAGAGGGCCCTGGCTGCCAAGGGGTAATTTCTAGGCGTAGGCCACGTACCCAGCCCTGTCCCACCACCCTCTCTCTGCCCTCACCATGTGTTTGATGTATTTGATACCATTCCACCAATTCCTCTCCAGCCATTACCACGAGCCTGTCCTCCCCAATTAAGGTGCCACCAACCTCCTGTGTCTGGTAGCCATTATTACTACCCACAAAATGTTAGGTTGATGGTCCAAAATCAGACTCACAGTTTAGAATCTGGGGCATTTTGTGTAATTTAATTATACAAAGGGATGAGGTAAGTGTTTGTTGTTCAAGTGAGAGGACAAATCCCTGACATATTTTCTCATCTCATGCAGTAGCTAGAAAGTGTTGACTGTAAACAAAGCCCCTTCCTGCAGAAAAGCCCCTGCCCTTTGTGAACACTAACGCCCCATACTTTGGGCGCTGTCTATTTCTGAGCAATGCTGAACTGTTCTCTGCCTTATTGTAGCTGCTGAGGGGGCCCAGCCAGTGGCTACCGTCAATCCTCCTGTCCTGACCATCCAGCAAGGAGGCCGCGCTGAGTTCCGCTGTACTGTGACTGGCAACCCTACCCCTGCCATCGAGTGGATAGGTAAGGAAGGCTGCAGCTAGTGGAACACCTACAACATAAATTAAGCCAGTCAATTAGTTTGGTCAATTGCTGACTTAGTCAATTAGGAACACATTCATTCGCATGTATGACGACCTGTTCTAATCTTGTATTTGAATAGCTGTTTTTGGAAGTATACATTCACTCTGTATAATGCCATAACTGACAAAAGGGGAAAATATAAAAAAATCTATGTGTTTCTAGGTGGAGGTCCTGGTAACAGGATGAGCCCCAACGCTGTGGTCCGTGGAGGAGTACTAACCATCCCTGCTGTGGAGAGGGGGGATGAGGGGGAGTACGTCTGCAAGGCCCTCAACACCCACGGAGAACACACAGCACGGGCAGTCCTCTACGTACACAGTGGGTCTCAACATCAACAACAGGCCAATGTCACAGGTTCATAGGGTGGTATTCTTACTTGAGATCTGCACTCTTTACTCAAATTGTTGCGCAAGTCTTCTATTGAGATCGAAGAATGATTTATGCATGCTCTGAGGTCTGAGTTGTGTGTGCTTATCTCAACTGTGAATCTGCCCAATATTGTCGATCGTAACTAGTTACCACAGCCACAAAGTCATTATTTCTACAATATCTTCTTAAAATCTAATTTTAAACCACAGGAGGTTGGTGCCACCTTAATTGGGGAGGACAGGCTCGTGGTAATGGCTGAAGCGGCATTAGTGGAATAGTATCAAATACATTAAACAGATGGTTTCCATTCCATTCGCTCCGTTCCAGACATTATTATGAGCCGTCCTCCCCTCAGCAACTTGACTGTTTTAAACCTAAACTTAACTCTAACCTTAACCACACTGCTAACCTTATGCCAAACCCTAACCTTAAATTAAGACCAAAAAGCACATTTTTGTTTTCACTAATTTTTACGATATTGCCAACTTTGTGGCTGTGGTAACTAGTGACAACCCATATTGTCTACCAGTCTGGTTGGGTCCTCATTTTGGCATATTCTGTGTTCTTCCTGTGTGTTTGAATGCTTCAGGTGCCAGCCTGCCCCACGTGCAGGTGAGCCCCCAGAGAGTGGACATCCATGAGGGGGAGACTCTAAGGCTGTACTGCAGGGCTGGAGGCACGCCCAGCCCCGGACTCACCTGGAAGAAACAGGGAGGACAACTCCCTCCGCAGGTAAACACTGGTCCTTTCTACCTGATACTTTCTGTCTAGGATATAACCTGATCTTAAGAGTAGCTACATAGAGTGCCTTCAGAAAGTATGTATTTATACCCCTTGACTTTTACTTCACTGGCCTACACACAATACCCCATATTGTCAAAGTGGAAGTATGTTTTTCAAAATCTTTACAATGTCTTGAGTCAATAAGTATTCAACCACTTTGTTATGTCAAGCCTAAATAAGTACAGGAGTAAACATTTGCTTAACAAGTCACATAATAAGTTGCATTGACTCACTTTGTGCGCAATAATAGTGTTTAACATGATTTTTGAATGACTACCACATCTCTGTACCCCACACATACAATTATCTTTAAGGTCCCTCAGTCGAGCAGTGAATTTCAAACAAAGATTCAACCACAAAGACCAGGGAGGTTTTCCAATGCCTTGCAAAGAAGGGTAGATGGGGTATTGGTAGATGGGTAAAAATAAAATAAAAAGCAGACATTGAATATTAATTACACTTTGGATGGTGTATTAATACACCCAGTCATTACAAAGATACAGGCGTCCTTCTAACTCAGTTGCCAGAGAGGAAGGACACTGCTCAGGGATTTCACCATGAGGCCAATGGTAACTTTAAAACAGTTGCAGAGTTTAATGGCTTTGATAGGAGAAAGCTGAGGATGGCTCAACAACATTGTAGTTACTCCATAATACTAACCTAATTGACAGAGTGAAAAGAAGGAAGCCTGTACAGAATACAAAATAATCCAAAACATGCATCCTGTTTGCAACAAGGCACTAAAGTAATACTGCAAAAAAATGTGGCAAAGCAGTTAACTTTTTGTCCTGAATACAAAGTGTTATGTTTGGGGCAAATCCAATAAAACACATTACTGAGTACCACTCTCCATATTTTCAAGCATAGTGGTGGCTGCATCATGTTATGGGTATGCTTCTAATTGTTAAGGACTGGGGAGTTTATCAGGATAAAAAAGAAACAGAATGGAGCTAAGCACAGGCAAAACCCTAGAGGAAAACCTTGTTCAGTCTGCATTCCACCAGACACTGGAAGATTAATTCATCTTTCAGCAGGACAATAGCCTAAAACACAAGGCCAAATATACACTGTTGTTGCTTACTAAGATGACATTGAATGTTCCTGAGTGGCCTAGTTACAGTTTTGACTTAAATCTACTTGACAATCTATGGCAAACTATGATCAACAACCAATTTGACAGAGCTTGAAGAATTTTGAAAAGAGTAATGGAAAATATTGTACAATCCAGGTGTGAAAAGCTCTTAGAGACCTACCCATAAAGACTCACAGATGTAATCACTGCCAAAGGTGTTTTTACAAAGAATTGACTCAGGGGTGTGAATACTTATGTAAATAAGATATTTCTGTATTTGATTTTCAATAAATTTGCAAAAATTTCTAAAAACATGTTTTCACTTTGACATTATGGGTTATTGTGTGTAGATAGGTGAGAGAAACAAATAACTTGAATCCTTTTCGAATTTAGGAATGTGGAATAAGTCAAGGGGTATGAATACTTTCTCAAGGCTCTCACTGTATGTATCGTATACAGCAGGGGTGTCAAACTCACTTCGCTCTTGGGGCCGCATTCAGTCTTCAACGAGGTCCACACAGAAAATTGGTTATATTTCCTTGCCTTCCAAATTTGCCAAAAATAGTCCTTTATCCATTGTTTTTGGAATGTTCGATGCTCCCTGACTGTCTAGTGATTATTAACGAGCTGGACAATCAAGAAACTGTATGAATATAGGTCCATTACCATTTCTACACAGTTTCAATTTGGTTTTAATCATTTATTTATGAATGTTTTTCTCAAACCACCCGCGGGCCGGATTGGACCCCCTCGTGAGCCGGATCTGGCCCGCGAGCCGGATGTTTGACACCCCTGGTATACAGTATTTGGTGCTGGTATCTCACCATGCTATTGAAAGGGTTGTGTTGGTGAAAAAGTGAATTCTGGTGTGAAGTGTTTTGACCAATCTTTATTGTTTTTTTTCCTTCTTGTGTTTCCTTCCCCCCTTTCTTTATTCCCTGTTTCCTTTACGTTTTGCTCAGGCCATTCCTTCTCACGGTTTCCATCAGTTTAAAAGCAACAGTCTCGATGTGTTACAGAGACGTATTGAGGAGCTGCAGGTCTGTCCGTCTGTCCTCTGTCTTTACGTCTGTCTGTCTATCTGTCTCGCCTCTTACTTCCCACCTGTTGCCCTCTACTGACCTTGCCTAAACACACTGTCAACTAAATGCATGATCAAACGTGTCTTTGATTCATCATCACACACAGTAACTGCCATTAATTCACTACAAGCAAATAACTGCTCACAAAGTCTCCATGAGAAATAGTAGTTCAGTATAACTGGTAGAAAACAACAACAACAACAACAACAACAACAAGCTGGGTGTGAAGCTCTACTTATGGCATGGTTTAGTTGTTGTTTTTGTCTTGTAAGTGTTCCATCCATCCATTGTCCTTCTTTTTCTCATTTGTCCACAATCATTAGGGATGGGTGAAAAAAATTGATACAGTTACATGTCGCAATATTATTTTTGGATTGATATTTGACTCCCAAGTATCGATTTGTAAAAAAAAAAAGTTTTTGCTACTGTAGGTAGCGGTAGCTAGGGCTAGTTGTCTATACCTGAGCCAAAACTATCCTATAGCTTTTTAAATAGTGACCCAACATGTTTTCAGCACTTTTATTTCCCTGACTGATCAAAACTATTTTTTTCATGCTGACTCTTCTCTCTCTGCAGCAGATAAATAGTGAGCAATATGTTTGGAATATCAAATCGCAATACAATCGCAGTATTGAATCGCAATACATATAGATTCGTGAGAATCGCAATACATATGGTATCGGCACTTAAGTATGGTGATAATATCGTATCGTGAGGCCCCTCTCAATTCCCAGCCCTAACCATCATCATATCATCCCTGACATATATGTTTCCTAAACCAACTATTTAGCATTTTGTTCACATTATTATTATTCCTGTATGTCCACGCCCAGGCCCCAGGGCGTAGCTTGGTATTTGGGACATAGTCTCCTCATGCTAGGCCCTTTGGGTTAGTCCCTCCGTACCTGGTGTCTCCTCCGCCAGCCGAGGCTCAGGGCTCTGTTTTGTTCTGCCTCAGAGAGCTTCAGCGTTGTGTCAGCTTTTCCCATGGGGTCTCAGGCTCTGCCGTGCGGCCACGCAGAAATTCTGTGTGCTCTAGCAAATGGGTTGCTTTGAAAACTTGTGAATGGGTTCAGACACAAATTGAGCCGGCTCCACCTCGGCCACTGCTCACTTTAGCCAGGCCCTCACGGTTGACTAGGCCAGCGCTAAGCAGCTTTGTCCACGGATGGATGGCACACTACCACCACCCCCAGGATACTGTAATCCACCCAGCCCAGCCACACCCCTTTAAATTCTCTCTACAGCCACACCCCTTTAAATTCTCTCTCCAGACACTCCCCTTTAAAGTCTCTCTCTAGATTCTAGACACACCCCTTTAAATGATGTCTTTAGGTGTACTCTATTCTCAGCCATAACATTGGTCCACTGTTCACGTTGATGGTTGTAATACTGTATGGTTGTAAGGTTGTAAATGGTAGTAAGGTCCACCACTCTGTCCATTATAGTTCAAGTGTAAAGTAGTTGCTTAGGGACTCAATTGGACATTTCTGTGCCATGCACAGGCTGATTATTTCCCCATTAGAATAGAGTTGATCCACCGCCTTACCGTTGTGTTGGTTGTACATTGGGATTCATTTACAAATGAAGGCATAGAGAGTTAGTGAGTGAGTGGTTGTAAGTATTAGTAATCATCTGTAATGCATTTCCAGTGATTTCATACTGTACATAGACAGAGGAGCTTTGTATTGCTTGAAAGCATTGTATTGGCTCAAAGCACTATGTCTAATATGTCAATTCCCTAACAGTTTCCCAGTCCTGTCATCATTGTACTCAATCATTTTAACAACTCAACAACATGTGCTACTATACCTACTGTAGTGTATCCTACTGTAGTGCACCCTACTGTAGTGTATTCTACTGTAGTGTATCCTACTGTAGTGTATTCTACTGTAGAGTACCCTACTGTAGTGTATCTTACTATAGTATATGTCCACCTACTGTAGTGTATTCTACTGTAGTGTATCCTACTGTAGTGTATCCTACTGTAGTGTATTCTACTGAAGTGAATCCTACTGTAGTGTATTCTACTGAAGTGTATTCTACTGTAGTGTATGATCACCTACTGTAGTGTATCCTACTGTAGTGTATGACCACCTACTGTAGTGTATTCTACTGTAGTGTATCCTACTGTAGTGCATCATACTGTAGTGTATGACCACCTACTGTAGTGTATCCTACTATAGTGTATACTACTGTAGTGTATCCTACTGTAGTGCATCATACTGTAGTGTATGACCACCTACTGTAGTGTATCCTACTATAGTGTATCCTACTGTAGTGCATCCTACTGTAGTGTATGACCACCTACTGTAGTGTATCCTACTATAGTGTATCCTACTGTAGTGTATGACCACCTACTGTAGTGTATCCTACTGTAGTGTATGACCACCTACTGTAGTGTATCCTACTATAGTGGACCCTACTGTAGTGTAACTGGTAACTGTTTAAATAGTGATCATTATTAGTTGTCAAATTAAACATTTTAACTGTGAAATCATTATAGTAATGTTGATATACCTAAACATTACTTTTCTCTTCAACCAACGATGAAATGGTTCGATTTTTTTGTTTTCTTTCTTGCAAAGCACAGCAATACCTGAAAAGCCTATTTTAATGATCATAACACAAACATTGTTACAACGCACAAACCATTTAACAATGCTATATACTGTATATGCTGAAGATCCACCCTGCTGTGCTTTTGTTGATATTGATTTTAAATTATGTCAAGTGTGTCTTTTGTTCGCACCTTTGTGGTCTGTGAAATCCAATGTTCATACAGTAGGTGGTTTGTCCAAAGGTAAGAAATCTGCTGTATGTATGATGTTTTTGTATTGGATTTGGGTAGAGACATCATCATTGTCATGCACATTGTCGTGTAGCTCGTACCACGGTGGTGCATCGTGTCTAAGGCCATCGTGACATATTCTTCATCCCTCTCCTTGCTCGTTGCTGTGTCCTCTCTAGGCCCGTATGGAGCGTACAGACATTGGCACCCTTCTCATCCCCAACATCAAGTCCTCTGACTCTGGCACCTACCTGTGTGTCGGAACCAACTCCATAGGATCCTCAGAGGCTCGCATCGAGGTCACCGTCAATAGAGGTGAGAGGTCACTCCAGGGTCATGTTCAGTAGGGCACTCGTTTTAAAATGTTTTGCAATGTAAATCGGAAACGGCTGTTTCTTATTTGAAAGATAGTTCAGATTACGTCAATGTTTTAATCTGTTTCAAAAAGTTTTCTCCCTACTCGGCATGACCCAGGTAATTGTACCCCAGAGCTTGCTGCTGCTGTGCGTTGACAGTAATCTAACATTAGTAAATATCTGTGCCCTGTGTTTGTTGTTGTGTAGCAATAGGAGGAGACACCATCTCGTCAGCCATCACCATCCAGCCCTCCATAGCTGACGTCCAGGAGGGACAGTCTCTGGACCTCAACTGTTTTGTCCCTGGTAACCCCCCACCTGCTGCCACCTGGAGTAGGTCTAGTGGACGCCTGTCTGCCAATCACCAGGTTGGAATATACACGTTCTGTTACTAGGGTTGAACAATTCTGGAAACTTTCCCAAAGTTCCCAGGTTTTGATTTTCCCAAAGTTCTCAACAGGGATTTCTGAAAACCCAGGAACTTTGGGACCTTACCTCTGACATACAAATGCTTCCAACTGTTCACGTAAATGTGCTGTAGCCACATGCTGATATGGTATCATTACTGTTTAGGAAGCTCAGCTAGTCAAATCTCTATGAAAAATCAATTGAAGGGATAGTGCGACATTTTGCAAGAAAGCATGCTAATTGTTCCTGTAGACTTCCAGTCATTGCGCTAATGCTAGTTAGCAATTGCTCCAGAAACTACCTTCAACTTCCTTAAAACTGAACGCAGAGACATAAAAATGGTATCCATGAGTTCATCTGACTCTAGGGAAGTAGAACAAAGTAATTGCCTAAATATCCCTTTAATGAAGACTGTTTTATTTCAGTTGAATATTCAGCAGGATAATTCCCATTGTGCCTAACAGGTTCTGGGTGCCCAGCTGCGTATCCTCTCTGCCAGCCCAGATGACTCTGGGGAGTATATTTGTCGTGTGGAGGCAGGGCCTGGTACTCCTGTCCGTCAGGCCTCAGTCTCTGTCTCAGTCACTGCCACCTCCTCTCGTAAGTCATCAAGCCATTCTCTCTGTGACAGTACACTGGCTTGACAATGGAACTGTCCTCTCAACTGATATCACTGGGGATGGTGGTGAAGCAGTCCAAGGCGTACACAGTAGGAACATCTGTGTTATTTATTTAGTGGCCTTTCGTCATGTACAGTATTACTTTTCCAGTTGTGTTTAATTCCAACCCTCCTTAAAGTGACCTCAGAGTGTATGCTTTCCTTTTCCACACTGTGCCATGATCTCATCCTGGTTCAAACCTTCCTGGGTTCCTAGTTTATCATGTTCTGTATTTGCTGACAAATTCCAATGCTTCCAATGGAGGCCATAGACCTATAGTATCACGATCTGGTACTTACAGTACACCCTCTTGTAAGTGTTGTAGGATTAGAACCAAAGTGAACTGGAGTGAGTAGAGGAAATGTTGTCCTGTTGTAATGTTTGTGGTGGTGTGTGTTTCCTGGAGCAGGCCTGCAGACCCCCATCATCTCCATTGAGCCCCACAGTGCAGCGGTGCGACAGGGAGAGTCAGCCAGCTTCAAGTGTAGGGTCTACAGTGGAGCCCAGCCTGTTCGCCTGGAGTGGAAACTGTCCAACAACCAGCCCCTTCCTGGTGAGGCCCCTCCCACACACACATACTGTTACACTGCTACTCTCTGACTGGAGGATACTGAAACATTCAATTCAATTCCATACAATTTTATGCAGACAGGCATTTAGTCAGATTCATGTCAGATGTCAGAATCATGTCATTATCCACTCACGCAAACTACCTGCAATATCTACAGTAATGACAATATATAGTCTGTATCCAATTAGCTATGTTTTTAATCAAACAGACACAGTTGCTGCTTGTCAGTTGCTGCTTGATAGACTAAATTATTCCCTGTGAAACCTGTCATTCTGTAGACAATGTGAAGATTGACCATTACGGCACTGTCCTCATCATCACTGATGCCCGCCCTAGCAACCAGGGCACCTACCGCTGTGTGGCTAGCAACCTGTTTGGAATCACCCAGAGCATCGTCTCTCTGATTGTCAAAGGTATGGCGTAGTCACACACACACACACACACACACACACACAAACACACACACACACACACACACATATATGGTGTTGATGTTTTTTTTATGTGGTTCACTATGAGCAGCTGCTCTCTGTCGATGAACTAAGGGCCCCCCTTGGTGGTTGTCATGGTAAAGGAAAGGCCTTACGGTTGTTTATTTGGGTGATGTCATCCTTCCTTCCAGAGTCTCCCGTAGCGACTGTCACCCCTCAGGGGCCCGTGCGAGTCAGGGTGGGTGAACCCATCAATCTGGAGTGCCAGGCCTCCGGGGAGCCACGGCCATCTGTCACATGGCACAGACTGGACAACGCCCGCAAGACCATGCTGAGCAGCCCTGTGCCCATGGAGTCCAACGCTGTCATGCAGGTACTGTACTGGATCTGTGTTCCTGATCTTCAACTCCCTAAGAAACCTCAAAGTCATTTTTACTGAGCTTTTGTACTGTACGGGTGGCAGGTAGCCTAGCAGTTAAGAGCGTTGGACCAGTAACTGACAGGTCGCTGGTTTGAATCCCCGAGCCGACTAGGTGAAACATCTGTCGATGTGCCCTTGAGCAAGGCACTTAACCCTAATTGCTCCTCTAAGTTGCTCTGGATAAGAGCGTCTGCTAAATGACAAATGTAATGTAAAATGTACATGGAAGAATAAAGGTTTCCTTAACACAGATTAAGCCTAGTCCTAGATTCTCAATTCAAAGTGCTTCTTGGTCTAAGACCAGGCTTAATCTGTGTCTGGGTAACCAGCCCTTAGTGTTAGGATGTAATGAATTTTTATGCTAAGATATATTACGCAGGGTGTGCTATTTATTCTATGATGGGCAGACGCAGTAAAGCTGTCTTCCCCTCCAAGGTCCTAGTGGCCCGTCCAGAAGACAGTGGCACCTACGTGTGCATGGCCCGCAACAATGAGGGCACCACTGAGACCAGGGTTGAAGTGATCGTGGAAGGGGGTGCCCAGGTGCCCACCTCGCCCCGTGCCTCTGTGCCAGAACCCCTCGTTGTGGTGGTGGAGGGACAGACCACCACACTGAGATGTGACGCTCACGGTAACTGATGCACCTACAAATTACACTAATGAGTATTATAGCAAAGATAACTGAGTTCCCAGGTTTTGATTGTATTGATACTTGTTAGTACAGATAATACTTTTAAGTAAAATTACATCCTACAAATGAGAGCTGAGAGGAACTTCATGTCATAGTTACCTCATCTTTGCTAAGAGCATACAATTGGCATGACAAATCATTGACATTTACATTTACTTAAGTCCTTTTCACACACTGATATTGTGATTTCCCTCCCTCCCAAGGTTTCCCTGCCCCTAATATCACATGGTCTAAGCTGCGTGCCCCTCTTCCCTGGAGACATAAAGTAGTGGACAACACCCTGGTTCTGCCCAGAGTTGGCTGGGCAGACTCTGGAGAGTACATCTGTAATGCCACCAACAACATGGGCACCACAGAGGTCACCATCATGCTGGATGTGGAGAGTGAGTCTGATAGAGAGATTTTAGTAGCCTGGTCCCAAATATTTTTGTGCTGCTTAGCCAACTCCTGTTAATCGTAATCGTGTTGGCTATACAAATCTGGAACCAAAGAGATCTGGGTCCAGGTTAAGGTTTCATCACTGCAGGTTCCAGTCTACACAGAAATATTGTGGCGACTTATATAGATTATTAACACCAATAAAACTCAATGACCCATGCTTTAAATAGATTATGAGGAACTATTTTCTCAGCTCATGAATCACGTCACACCATGCATAAATGTGATCGCACATCTCTATGCGAGCTTAAGTATAATTTAGTGATTTGCTTTTTTATATAAATATAGACTCAGAGCTTCAAAATATATCAACTGTAGTTGGATGAAACATGGGAAAGTTATGCTGTAAAACCACTTAGGAGACAAGTAGGAAAAAAAGCCCTTGAAAGATTTTGCTGAGATTTTCACACTTGCTAGAGAGCTCTTCTTTGTTTTATGCCGATTCAGCATCTTTCACACCCTCTTAAGCCTTAGCCCCACCCGTGTAAACGCATGTGAGTCAGCATGGCATTGTCCTCCAGAAAGTAATCTCTCTACTTAAACTTTCTACAACTGAGCTTTGTCGATAGCACCAGCTACATTTGCAGGTTGACATTTATTGTCATGAATCTTGCCCAATAGGCAAAACTGAGCAATTTCTGCTAGGTGGGCCAGCTACAAAGTCTAAATTGTCTATATCATAAAAATGCAAGGTTAGGGTTAAGCATTAGTGTTAGGTTTTAAATGATTTTATGACTTTGTGGCTGTGCTAGCTAGTGACCACTCTGCAGAGCTGCCTCCAGGTCAAGATTCATGACAATAAATGCCAACCTGCGCTAAATGTAGGCCAGCAATGTAGTTGAGCGCTGTAACAACACTTTTGCAGTTGTCCATAACTATATATTTCCAAAAATCTGCGGAAGCAAAGATTATCTATATACTGACCAGGAAAACCCCATTCTGTTATACATGTAGACAGAAGCCTGTGATATGACAGGCCAAACATCTCTCGGCATATCCAGCCCCTCCATTATCAAAGCCAATCATGGCAAGCCAGGAAGGATCCTGTCTTTCTCCCTATATAGCTCAGTACTTTCTCCTTGGCTAAACTAGGCTTGTCATTTACATTTTTTATTCATATTTACAGATCACCTCCGATTTTTTTTATTAAGGCACATGAATGTTCACATGTTCAAAAACTATAAAAAAAATTATAACAATTCCAGCCCTACTGTGAAGTCGGAACTAGCGCCAAATGCCCAGCTTCCTGAATCCAGTCACAAATCATCATCTATTCCTAATACTAGTCCCTTTAGGATCTCTAACCTTCCATGTCTCTGTAATGCAGCTCCTCCCTATGCCACCTCCCTGCCCGACGACGTGGCAGTGCGTGTGGGCGAGGTGATCCGACTGCAGTGCCTGGCCCATGGTACTCCCCCCCTGCTCTTCCAGTGGACCAAGCTGAACGGCAGCCTGTCCACTAGGGCTGACGCCCAGGCAGGAGACCTCCAGATCAACCTGGCCACAGCTGAGGACGCTGGCACTTACAAGTGTGTCGCCACCAACAAAGTGGGCACAAGTGAAGCACACACTAAGGTTACAGTCAGATGTAAGTACTGTGCCCAGTCACAGCCTGGCTTCTGTGTTGATGAAATTAGTCTACAGTAAGGTACCTATTTTTTACCATAATAACGTATGGACACAGACACCTTCAGTGAATAAGCACACAAACACTCCCTTATTGTGTGTGTGTGTATGTGTGTGTAGCGCCCCTGGCGGTGCGTGTGTCTCCTCAGGTAGAGGTGAAGGCCCAGGGTAGTGCTGTGGAGTTCACCTGCTCTGCTGCAGGAGGCCTGGGGACCACCATCGAGTGGCTGAAGGAGGGAGGAGCCCTGCCCCCCAACCATCACATCAAAGACGGAGTGCTGAGGTGAGAGAGCCAGGAGAGACACTTTACAGCAGGCAGTCAAAATGATCAACATGGCGATCCGGGATTAACAAAACGATGATCCAGGTTCAACACAGTTAAATGACGATCCAGGATCAACACAGTTAAATTATGATCCAGGGTCAACACAGTTAAATGACGATCCACACAGTTAAATGATGATCCAGGATCAACACAGTTAAATGACGATCCAGGATGAACCAGATGATGATCCAGGATCAACAAAATGATAATCCAGGATCATGTCCCTCTTGGTGAAATCAGAACGTGCATTTGGGTTGTCTGCCTGTATCTGATCCGTGTGTTTTGTGTAGGATTGAGAACCTGGATCAGAGCAACGAGGGCATCTACATCTGCAGAGCCACCAGTGTTCATGGCCAGGCTCAGGATACCGCCAAGCTCACCATCCAAGGTCTGCCCATGTCCAACACCCTCATACAATCATTGACACTGTCACAACCCATATTTATAACCAGAATATTTAGTATAGCCCCACTATGCAATCCCTCTCAATGATCTGGGAATCACATACATGTATGTCTCTATAAATGGCTCTGCAATTATCTTTCTTTTTATGAACTTGCAATGTATTAATTCAGTGTTTGTATGAACCCTCTCTCTCCTCTCCCCATTGTCTGCAGCCCTTCCCAAGGTGATGATCAACGTGCGTACCTCAGTGCAGACTGTCATGGTTGGTAACTCGGTGGAGTTTGAGTGTCAGGCCATAGGCGAGCCCCAGCCCACGGTGCGCTGGAGCAAGGTGGGAGGGCTGCTGCCGGCACACATTGTGGTGAAGGGCGGCATGCTGAAGATCGAACAGGTGACCGAGGCTGACGCTGGACAGTACCGCTGCACTGCCACCAACGATGTGGGATCTGTGCAATCCCAGGTGGTCCTCAATGTCCAGTGTAAGTAGAAAAAGGAGTGTACTGGTCCTGTACGTCGGCAAACACACACACACACACACACACACACACACACACACACACACACACACACACACACACACACTCCTATAGCTCTTGTCCCCTCTACCATGTATTGACAGATGTTTGTTTGTAAAGCCCTACCCCAGATCGCAGCTCTGCCAGAGCTGAAGGAAGTGACAGTGGGATCGGATGCTGTCCTGCCCTGTGTGGCATCAGGATACCCAGTGCCTGCCATCAAATGGTCCAAGGTAACCAACACCCTATCAGTGCAACGGAAAACAAACTAGTGAAGATGGTGCCTATCTGTTTCTGACTATTTTCCATCTACAGTATGTGCCTTGTGAACAGGATCCTGATTTGACATGTTTTGTGCGTCCTTCTCTCTGTAGCTGGATGGGGAGCTTCCTCCTAAGTGTATACAGGTAGTCAATACCTTGTCGGTTCCTGGAGTGACCCACGAGGATTCTGGGACATACGTGTGCACTGCCTCCAACAAGCAGGGCAAAGTGGAGGCCTTCACCACCCTCAAAGTCCATGGTCAGTCAGCTCTATAGAAACACACTGTGGTAGAGAATATAACATAGTTGCCTGTATCCAACTCTATGATTCCCTGTTCCCTGTCTCTAGTTCATAGACAGTCATCTAGTTCATAGACAATCAGCTCAATCAGAGGGGAAATTTAAATATAGGCAGTATCTAACTTTAATTCCTTTATCTCTACAGATCGAGTGATGCCCTATTTCACCCAGGAGCCCCTGTCCTATCTCACTCTGCCCACCATCAAGAACGCCTATAAGTCCTTCAGCATCAAGATCAGCTTCAGGCCAGACAATCCTGATGGTGAGAAGTCAGTCACATTGGTTTAATCACATTGATGTACTAGACTAATGTTTTTGTCTGTACAGTTTCAGTGCCATTTTTATGATCCAATGATACTGCATCTGTTATGATCTTGTGTAGCTCAGTTGGTAGAGCATGGCGCTTGCACCGCCAAGGTTGTGGGTTCGATTCCCACGGGGGGCCAGTATAAAAAATTAAATTAAATGTATGTACTCACTAACTGTAAGTCGCTCTGGATAAGAGTGTCTGCTAAATGACTAAAATGTAAATGTGTTGTGTCCTTCAGTACGTTGTCTTTCCTTATTTTTGTCTTGTTTGTCATTTATTGTCGTTTTCCCATGTATGATTTTACCCCCCTCTTCTTCTATCCCTCCACACTCTCCCTCTCTTCTCACCTATTCGGTGTGAAGGTCTCATACTGTATGCGGGTGAGTCGCACTGCTGTAAATCACACACTCAAGACTGATGCAGGTGTTGCTTTTTGGGCTAAAAGTCCAGAAAAGACACCAGTGATGTTTACCTTTTAACTTGCCATAATGCATGGTAATGTAGAGTACAGCTGGTGGCTGAGGGAGAAGCCTATGGAGAATGGCCTATGTCCTCATTCAGGCATGATGGTTGTATTGGCAGCCCCCCGCTCGTCAATCCATTACAGTCATTGGCCTAATGGTGTCGGGATAGTACGATGCCGATGCATGGAAAGATGGCAATTTTTACAATCCATTTCATCACTCTGCATCAGCTTATACCAACAAGACTGCAATGCTGCTTCCAAAGACAAGCTTTATTATTGGCAAATTAAGGAAATACAATGTCTTATTAGCCTATACAATGAATAAGCCTCAAAATGGACATTGTACAGTATTGTATGTGGCTATAGGATTTATCTTCTCAGTTCGGAAGCTAGTACATAGTACTGTACCACCAGCGAGATGGGGTGCTTCAATGGGTGACACACATACTCTGATAACAACTTCCATACCAACTTCATGGAAGTTGTACAGAGTGAACAGAAGAAAAAAGCAACAATTGTACCGCATTTAAGCAATCGCTCTCTGCTCTAACATCTTCCCTTTCAGAGCCATAGATGTTAGGGATATGTTTATGTTTAGGAGGCATGGTTTTAGACTGCCCTGGCTTTGACCTTGATGATGATGGCCACAGTGCTGGTTGGGAAGAGTTTAGCAGAGCATGTGTGGTTGGCATGCAGCCCGTGTGAAGGCAGAGCTAGACCAGACCAGACAGAGCGATGCCCCAGGGCAGCACACACTAGAACCTGGCTTTGACTGTCCCAAGCTTGGCCCTAAACCTGCTAGCATGCAGCTTCTTGGACTGAGTGACCTCAGCCCTCACCCTGGTGCCTCTGTCTTTGACTGGCTCTAGGAGGGGAGGTGTGTGAACAATGCTAATTGTACCTCTACTGGTCCACCAGGTATGATCATCTATAACGGACAGAAGAGGACCATGGGAGCAGACTTCATCTCTTTGGGGCTGGTGGGAGGCAGGCCTGAGTTCAGGTGAGCACCTGGCTGTGTCATTCTGGAGCATTAGGGGTCACTATGCACGCTATATGAGCTCAGTGTGTAAGAATAAACAAGCTATTGATGAATGGTAACTTTAACTGACATTAGAGTCTGTCAACATTAACTGATGATGATGGTGATCACGATCATGATGACACTGACAATGATAATAATGATAATGATAGCAATAACGCTAACCTGAACTATTTTCTCCCGACAGGTTTGACGTGGGTTCTGGCATGGCCACCATCCGCTACCCCACCCCAATCAAACTAGGAGAGTTCCACACCATAGAGCTCTACCGCAACCAGACCCAGGGCTCCATCATAGTGGACAGAGAGGCTCCAGTCAACGGAAGCTCACAGGTAGTTTTACACTATCATTCTTTAGATCCAGAGACTGTTGAACAATATTATTCAGACATAAATATCAAACAGAAGCTCACAGGTAGTTTTCATAGTCAGTTATAGACTGTTGAATATATACAAAGTACATATCCAGGAGATTAATCCATGAACACTGTTTCCTGTCTCGTATCACAGGGCAAGTTCCAGGGGCTGGATCTGAACGAGGAGTTGTATGTGGGTGGTTACCCCAACTACACCCTCCTGGCTAAGACCGCTAGCCTCAAGACTGGCTTCATTGGTTAGAGATCATTGTTTTGTTTTGGAGCTAGTTATGCTTAACAACAATAAAACACACTTTGATGACACTGTATGGAGTGATATTAGTGCCAACCGGAAGTGAATTTGAATTCAATCATTATGAATTGTTATCGAGCTATTGGTCACTGTTCTGGAATATTCTCATTGGTTCATGGTTTATGGTTTATGGTTTATGGTTCATGGTTCTTGTTCTTGTTCTGTCCAGGCTGCATCCGTAAGCTGGTCATCCAAGGTGATGAGGTCATCTTCAAGGATCTGGACCGCAGCTCTACGGGCGTGTCCAACTGTCCTGTCTGCACTGACAGTCCCTGTCAGGTCAGCTGACCACCACTACCTCAGACCCCACCTGTTAAATACAATTCATTCATTAATTGTGGTGTTTTGTTTCAGAATGGAGGGATATGTCAGGACTCTGATACCAGTCTGTACAAGTGTAGCTGTCCTAGAGGATTCACTGGAAGTAACTGCCAGCACCACTCCTCCCTGCACTGCCATCCAGAGGCTTGTGGACCGGACGCCACCTGCATCAACCGTCAGAACACACTGGGCTATGACTGCCGATGCCACCTGGGGAAGTCTGGAAACAAGTGCATGGACGGTAAGGGAAACAGGTTATTTTCCTTAGCAATGTCCACTCCTTGAGTGGGCAAGCCTCTGCCCACCGGAAGGTGGTAGAACAGTGGCTCGCCGCACACGGGCCTCTGATGGCAATACGACAGCGAACCTCCCTTCCCTTGTTTGCGGTATCTGTATAACCATTGAGGCATTATCACACTTTCTTACTAGACATCATATTTGAACATCTTGTTGATGTTTGTTTCCTCTAGGTGAATTGGTGACTACTCCCCTGTTTGACGGTATGGACTCGTACATTGCGTACCCTCCTCTGACCAACATCCACAACGACCTGCACATCGAGATGGAGTTCAAACCGATGGACCTGGACGGTCTGATGTTCTTCAGCGTGGGCAAGAAGATGAAGACGGAGGACTTTGTCTCCCTGGAAATGGTGGACGGACACGTGCAGTTCTGCTATGAACTGGGGACTGGTGAGAGCATAGAGATACAATATAATACTATATACTGTATAGTACATAATAAGGATTTTTTATTATGAATTATATTTATTGATGTGGGTGAGAGGCCCTTATATGTTACTGTTATACTCTGATAGCTACTCAACCTGCTGTATCTGATGGGAATTGTTTAGTAAACTATTGGATAAACAAAGTTAAATTACAGACGTGACGAACATATAGTCAGGATTTTCTGCTGCAAGAACTTGAATGGTTCCTTTCACTGGGCATGGGTGTGTGTGTGAAGTGGGGATCTGACCTAGGGTTGAATTGCTCGCTCTTACCTAATCCATGGCTGTCCTACCTTATCAGAGACTGAAACCAGACTGTTGCCTAATGCATCTCTCCTCAAACAAAGTAGAGAGAGCGCGGCACCAGAATTAAACAGAGTCTAGACTAATCCTGGGTAATTACAGCATGACGGGAGGGAAGAGAGGAGTGGGTTTGGGTATGTTTGAAAGATTAAGTGTGGATCTGTCATGTCCAACAATCAATCTTTAGGTCAAGCCAGGGAGAGCCGGGGTTGAACAGAGTTTAAACTGAAGATGAGTGTTTTTGCATGATAAGGGCTGGATTGATTGTACTACTAAATGTCAAATTTAGCCGCTATCATAGACTAAGGAAGTAGGCAGAGCGGTAGAGAGAGGGAAACTGAAGATGGTGGTGGGGGAACCCAAGAGGGAAGCTAAGATGTATGTGAATTTGACTATATAAACAGAGAGCTTAGAGGTAGAGGGGAGGTGCTCTGCAGACCATCTCGGCTTCCGTTACTCTGTGTAATAAAGTCTATCTTGATTCTACAGAAACTCTGGAAGAACTTAGATTTTTAATAAGTATAGTGATAATTTTCCACAACATATCCTCTCCAACTGTTACCTTTTCGTTTTCGAGCTCAAAGCTGTTTATGGTTGTGCCATAGATTTTTGAATCTAAAAGGGATACTTTGGGATTTTGGCAATGAGGCACTTTATCTACTTCCCCAGAGTCAGATGAACTCGTGTCTCTGCTTGTAGTTTGAAGGAAGTTGCTAACTCGTGCTAGCGCAATTGCTAACTAGCATTAGAGTAATGACTGGAAGTCATTGCCCAGTCATTGTGCTATGGTATCTGCTAGCATGCTAGCAGATACCATAGACTTCCAGTCATTACGCAAATGCTAGTTAGCATTGGCTCGCGAAACTACCTCTAACTTCCTTCATACTTGACACAGAGACATAAAAATGGTATCCAAGAGTTAATCTGACTCTGGGGAAGTCATTGCCAACATCCTGAAGAATCCCTTTTACTAATAGATCGAGTCACCTGTAACTCTGTTGACCGATATAATCAGGGAATCCATTGTCTCTAGATTAAGTATCTCCGCTGTTTCATTGGCCTAGTTTTCACACTAAGCTCCTCTCAGGCACCAACAAAACAGTGGAAAAGGAAACTAGCAAGGCGTTAGCAAGCACTGACGCGCTCAGACATAGTGCGGTAGTGGAAACCATGCTATTGCCTTTGTTTCCAGGCCAAGCTGTCCTGCGCAGTCCTGAGCCGGTCACCCTGGGCCAGTGGCACCGCGTGGAAGCCGGGCGCCTCGACAAGGACGGCTCTCTGAAGGTTGATGGTGGCCGGGAGGTCAGGAGGTCGTCGCCAGGCAAGGCCCAGGGCCTGAACATCCACACCCCCATGTACCTAGGAGGAGTCCCCAACATGGACATCATCCCCAAGGCCCTTAACATCAGTGATCTGTACGATGGATGCATAGGAGAGGTGAGCTCAACACACACACACACACACACACACACACACAGCATGAGCCATGATGGCCTTTATTATAATTCATAAGCACTATCCACACAGTCACAGAACATCAATAGTAAAAAACACCAACATGAAAATGTCCTATTTTCCCCGATCATTTGACTTGATTGGACCTCTAACCCTCTGTGTTTTCTGTTGTCCAGGTGTCCATCAACGGTAAGAAGGTGGACCTGTCCTACAGCTTCACAGACAGCATGGCCATCGTCCAGTGTAAGGACAACAGTCCATGTGACCGCAACCCCTGTCTAAACGGGGCCAGCTGCATGCCGAGCGCCGAGTATGAGTACCAGTGTCTCTGCAAGGACGGCTTCGAGGGTGAGTCCATTGTATAGTTAAATGAAGTACAATCTATGGGATTTCACTTTGGTTAGAGCTATGTGCCGTAGATTTATTAAATAATTGGCATTCAATAATCATATTCTGAAAATAATCTTTCCCAAATGAGATCACTGCCGTGTGTATCTCTCCCCCTAATGCCACTTTGATCCCTTTAACCTCTGACCTCTGACACCTGTCTCTGTGCCCTCTCCAGGTGAGCGATGTGAGGTGGGGAAGGATACCTGCCAGAGCAGTGACCAGTGCCAGAACGGAGGCAGCTGTGTCAACAGCCAGTGTGTGTGTCCTATAGGCTTCAATGGCCCCGTCTGTGGGCAGAGTGAGTACTGCTCTCTTACCCTCCTATACACAGCATGACTATTCCACTATATCTTCTAGTCCCATGAGATGTAACTTTATTATCATAGAGAGTGAGGGAGACAAGCAGAACAAATGGAACAATTCTGGATAGAGTATCTGGATAAGAAATCATTGTAACCTAATTATAACACTTCATAATGTTCACGTATTGTATTTTAGTTTTCTATCAATTGCCCTGTTTCCATAAAAGCTGATGTATGGTATAATTGTGAATGCTGATTTTGTTTGTTTCTTTATTAGGAGATACAGACATCTCTGGAGATACCATCTCTTCACAGTAACACTGTGTATATGTTAGCTTTAGAATACACCCTTATAATCTTGACAGAGATATTAGTTACCAATAGACATAACAATCTCTCTCCCAAGGACCATTGCATTAGCTAGGCCTCAACCAGACCCCTCTTCTAAGGAATGGGCCCATATGAAGATGATTGTCCACACTCTAACCTCCACACCGTAACATCAGAAAGCTATTCTACTCTATAGGATCCAGCAGTGGTCTGTAGTGTTGGGTGTCAAAGCCACATGACCTAGTGTGTCTTACCCCTGCCCTCTAATGGCTATATCCCACACACACAGGCCAGGTCTCCAGCTTCGCCGAGGCCCTGGGGAATTTGGAGGGTAGCGGGGGGAATGGTACAGTATCCCTCCCTTCAGTTCTGCCTGACACAACCGTGACTAACCGTCAGGGGCCCGTCTGACCGACCTGAGGGCCCCCGAGAGCCCCCGTGTGGGCCCCCGCCGCAAGCCTAACACACACTCAGCAAATCAGAGAAACAAATTACTTACGCAAAACTGTACTACCAAAACAACGCTACACATTTCTATTCTGTACTCAACTGGTGGCTGGGGTTCCTATCCTGTGAAATGTTGGGAGAGGGGAATTCTATGTTGTTAAAGGCTAAGGGTACTGTAGTATGCAGATGGATATTGCGTCTTCTTGCGGTTGTCTATTATTGGGTTTTGGCCCTTTGACACCTTTTCTCTCTCTTGTTTGAGATACTGTGTATGTTTTAGAGATGCAAGAAATGTAGAATTCCCCTTTTGTCCTCTCCTAAACAAGCGTCCTGTCGAGTCTGTGACATAACCAACTACTTACTGCAACATCTTCCAAACTGCCGTCTTCCAAACTGCCTGTCCAAATCAACAACAGAAACAACTCTTTTTTTTCTCCACTTCTGCTCTCGTTCGTTGGAAACTGAGAATGTGAAATGCATTATCTTCTACCCATTGGAACAAGGATGTTCGTTGTCAGTTACTAACCACTAAAAGTATTTTTATGAAAGTATTATGATGTGAAAGCTGTTTGGGTGAGTTGAAACTCCTTTGAAGATGATAACTATGCATGGAGCACTCGATCGTCTGGGTCCGCACTGCACTGAGATGCCTGTCTCGCTTGAGTCTACAGATCTAGTGTTTGTGATGAATGACATGTACTATGGAGAATGTCGTCTGACTGTGGTATTTTGTACAGTTTGTCTGTCAATACAGAATCTTCAATCTGCAACATTGGTATAAAATACTGTGTTTTGGGATATGTGTCAAAAGTAGAGCTGTTTAAAAACATAAATACAAATATTGATAAGAAAATATATTTTTCCCTCTTTCTTAACTCTTGTATACGAACTACTGTTAGTTTCTAACTGAGCCAGTTGGACGGAGGTTCTATTCAACCTGCTGCCAGCGGAGGGAGCGCTAACACTAAGGATCACTATAGCAACATACAGGAAACTGAAGTGTTGTGTTTTCTACTCTGTTTTTATAGATGCCCCCATTGAGTATGCAGCTGAATTCTATGACAACGGTTACCTTTCTCTTCCCAAGACTATCTTCCCCAGAAGGTGAGACAGAGTTTCCCAAGTGGAGAAGGAAGGAACTTTTGTTAAGCTGTATCAGTTTCCTTCTCTGCAATTGTCAGTATTGTATTGAGACATCGACGTGGTCTAGGTAGTTTTAAAGCCATGTCTGGGTCGCCACCCCCCCCCCCCATCCCCCCCTCCCCCACACTCTCGCTCTCTCTCTCTCCCTCTTTCTCTCTCTTTCTCCATGTGTATGTGTGTTATAATGTCTGTGTGTGTGTGTTGTGTGTTGCAGCGGCCCTGACACTCCAGAGACCATTGAGCTGGAAATCAAGGTCAACACCAACTCCAAAGAGGGCCTGATCCTGTGGCAGGGAGTGGTATGTCCTAACCTGGCCACCGTACTCGTGCACCCCCGGGGCAATACTCAGCACTATTTATCATCCTTACTATCTAATCACATATTTACCAATAACCTACCATACAGCACTGTGAATCAGCACTTCCGTTTACCCTCACTGTCATTAATAATTATAATAATACATTGGATTTGTGTCCCGCTTTTCTAAGACTCAAAGAGGTTCACCTGCATTCAACCGCTCTTTTCCTTTTGGTTATTTGTAATGTTTTTAACTGGCTCTCACAGCTCACTTCTTTCTCATTGCATTGAGATTGATGTGACTTACAGACTGGCTGCCGGTTTGGGCATGTTGGCTCTGAGCGAGCCACGTCACAGTTCCAGGTCCAGGCATGGTTTGGCATGGTTTTGACAGCACTATTTTGATTGACTGCACTGCATGTTGCCTGGTTGTTGCTTTGCCTCTCTAACCCGAGCCCCTTCCCATCTTCCCCAGGAGTCAGTTAATGGCGCTAGTCATTTCCGCAAGATGCATGCTAGTAAAAAGGTATCCACCTCACCAAAACACCTGGTAAATATGGTATATTTCAGGATATGTACTTCATGTATAGATGTATTGTAAGATGATTTGACAGTCTTACACTATATCTACACCATAACTATGGACTACATGTTTTGAACTTGAATCTACAGTCGTGGTCAAAAGTTTTGAGAATGACACAAATACTAATTTTCACAAAGTCTGCTGCCTCAGTTTTGATGATGGCAATTTGCATATACTCCAGAATGTCATGAAGAGTGATCAGATGAATTGCAATTAATTGCAAAGTCCCTCTTTGCCATGAAAATGAACTTAATCCCCCAAAAACATTTCCACTGCATTTCAGCCCTGCCACAAAAGGACCAGCTGACATCATGTCAGTGATTCTCTCGTTAACACAGGTGAGAGTGTTGACGAGGACAAGGCAGGAGATCACTTTGTCATGCTGATTGAGTTAGAATAACAGACTGGAAGCTTTAAAAGGAGGGTGGTGCTTGAAATAATTTTTCTTCCTCTGTTAACCATGGTTACCTGCAAGGAAACACGTGCCGTCATCATTGCTTTGCACAAAAAGGGCTTCACAGGCAAGGATATTGCTGCTAGTAAGATTGCAACTACATCAACCATTTATCGGATCATCAAGAACTTCAAGGAGAGAGGTTCAATTGTTGTGAAGAAGGTGTCGGGGCGCCCACGAAAGTCCAGCAAGCGCCAGGATCGTCTCCTAAAGTTGATTCAGCTGCGGGATCGGGGCACCACCAGTGCAGAACTTGCTCAGGAATGGAAGCAGGCAGGTGTGAGTGCATCTGTACGCACAGTGAGGCGAATACTTTTGGAGGATGGCCTGGTGTCAAGAAGGGCAGCAAAGAAGCCACTTCTCTCCAGGAAAAACATCAGGGACAGACTGATATTCTGCCAAAAGGTACAGGGATTGGACTGCTGAGGACTGGGGTAAAGTCATTTTCTCGGATGAATCCCCTTTCCGATTGTTTGGGGCATCCGGAAAAAAGCTTGTCCGGAGAAGACAAGGTGAGCGCTACCATCAGTCCTGTGTCATGCCAACAGTATAGCATCCTGAGACCATTAATGTGTGGGGTTGTTTCTCAGCCAAGGGAGTGGGCGCACTCACAATTTTGCCTAAGAACACAGCCATGAGCAAAGAATGGTACCAAAACATCCTCCGAGAGCAACTTCTCCCAACCATCCAAGAACAGTTTGGTGATGACCAATGCCTTTTCCAGCATGATGGAGCACCTTGCCATAAGGCAAAAGTGATAACTAAGTGGCTCAGGGATCAAAACATCGACATTTTGGGTCCATGGCCAGGAAACTCCCCAGATCTTAATCCCATTGAGAACTTGTGGTCGATCCTCAAGAGGCGGGTGGACAAACAAAAACCCACAAATTCTGACAAACTCCAAGCATTGATTATGCAAGAATGGGCTGCCATCAGTCAGGATGTGGCCCAGAAGTTAATTGACAGCATGCCAGGGCGGATTGCAGAGGTCTTGAAAAAGAAGGGTCAACACTACAAATATTGACTCTTTGCATAAACTTAATATAATTGTCAATAAAAAGCCTTTGACACTTATGGAATGCTTGTAATTATACTTCAGTATACCATAGTAACATCTGACAAAAATATCTCATAACACTGAAGCAGCGAACTTTGTGAAGACCAATACTTGTGTCATTCTCAAAACTTCTGACCACGACTGTATATGTGTTGTTGTTTCCGGCTGGAGCAGCCTACTACCTTTAGTTAACAAATAAATGAAATCAATCAATCCTTAACAATAATATGTATGTAGTATAATATGCACCATGGCTGTGACAGCTTCAATGCTCATTGTTATGTTGCATGTAACATTTGTACTGTACTACCAAAAGGAGCTTGATTCAGGTTTGTGATCAAATTTTGAATAGGTATAAAAAATATATTTGTATGTATCTTATACAATAAAGGAAACTCCACAAGTCTTAATACAAAACCTGTGCGCTCAGTATATGAAAAAATCCATAATGGTTTTAATATATGATCCAGATATACAGTACCAGTCAAAAGTTTGGACACACCTACTCATTCCAGGGTTTTTCTTTATTTGTACTATATTCTACATTGTAGAATAATAGTGAAGACATCAGAACTATGAAATAACACATATGGAATCATGTACAGTGGGGGAAAAAAGTATTTAGTCAGGCACCAATTGTGCAAGTTCTCCCACTTAAAAAGATGAGAGAGGCCTGTAATTTTCATCATAGGTACATGTCAACTATGACAGACAAAAATTCCAGAAAATCACATTGTAGGATTTTTTATTAATTTATTTGCAAATTATGGTGGAAAATAAGTATTTGGTCAATAACAAAAGTTTCTCAATACTTTGTTATATACCCTTTGTTGGCAATGACACAGGTCAAACGTTTTCTGTAAGTCTTCACAAGGTTTTCACACACTGTTGCTGGTATTTTGGCCCATTCCTCCATGCAGATCTCCTCTAGAGCAGTGATGTTTTGGGGCTGTCGCTGGGCAACACAGACTTTCAACTCCCTCCAAAGATTTTCTATGGGGTTGAGATCTGGAGACTGGCTAGGCCACTCCAGGACCTTGAAATGCTTCTTACGAAGCCACTCCTTCGTTGCCCGGGCGGTGTGTTTGGGATCATTGTCATGCTGAAAGACCCAGCCACGTTTCATCTTCAATGCCCTTGCTGATGGAAGGAGGTTTTCACTCAAAATCTCACGATACATGGCCCCATTCATTCTTTCCTTTACACGGATCAGTCGTCCTGGTCCCTTTGCAGAAAAACAGCCCCAAAGCATGATGTTTCCACCCCCATTATTCACAGTAGGTATGGTGTTCTTTGGATGCAACTCAGCATTCTTTGTCCTCCAAACACGACGAGTTGAGTTTTTACCAAAAAGTTCTATTTTGGTTTCATCTGACCATATGACATTCTCCCAATCCTCTTCTGGATCATCCAAATGCACTCTAGCAAACTTCAGACGGGCCTGGACATGTACTGGCTTAAGCAGGGGGACACGTCTGGCACTGCAGGATTTGAGTCCCTGGCGGCGTAGTGTGTTACTGATGGTAGGCTTTGTTACTTTGGTCCCAGCTCTCTGCAGGTCATTCACTAGGTCCCCCCGTGTGGTTCTGGGATTTTTGCTCACCGTTCTTGTGATCATTTTGACCCCACGGGGTGAGATCTTGCGTGGAGCCCCAGATCGAGGGAGATTATCAGTGGTCTTGTATGTCTTCCATTTCCTAATAATTGCTCCCACAGTTGATTTCTTCAAACCAAGCTGCTTACCTATTGCAGATTCATTCTTCCCAGCCTGGTGCAGGTCTACAATTTTGTTTCTGGTGTCCTTTGACAACTCTTTGGTCTTGGCCATAGTGGAGTTTGGAGTGTGACTGTTTGAGGTTGTGGACAGGTGTCTTTTATACTGATAACAAGTTCAAACAGGTGCCATTAATATAGGTAACGAGTGGAGGACAGAGGAGCCTCTTAAAGAAGAAGTTACAGGTCTGTGAGAGCCAGAAATCTTGCTTGTTTGTAGGTGACCAAATACTTATTTTCCACCATAATTTGCAAATAAATTCATTAAAAATCCTACAATGTGATTTTCTGGATTTTTCTCAATTTGTCTGTCATAGTTGACGTGTACCTATGATGAAAATTACAGGCCTCTCTCATCTTTTTAAGTGGGAGAACTTGCACAATTGGTGGCTGACTAAATACTTTTTCTCCCCACTGTAGGTGTGTCCAAACTTCTGACTGGTACTGTATGTTAGATATACTGTACAGTATATCCCCCATACTCAACTGGCGGACCGCGGTCCGGATCCGGACCCAGAACGGGGTCAATACGGACCGCGATTCTCGACTACTTGGTTGGGCTTCGACCCCTGGTATCATATAAACTCACATAAGTCATGGATTTTTTATTATTATTATTGCAGGAAATTAGCTTTAAAATAGAAAAAGAAATCTCTGCCCCATGCAAAATTTGAAGAATTGTGGGAAATTAGGTTTAAACTGTAACATTTTCTCTCTGCCAACAAGAAGGGTGTGAGCAGTTTGGGGTTGCATGGGTTGCGAGGTGGGGGTTTGTTACTATGCCGAAAAATTACAATATTCATCCGGACCTTTGCCACCTAGGAAATTTGTCTGACCGGACCTTCTCAAGTAGTACTTGAGTACCCCTGCTGTATATGATACAGTATATGCTATTTTATTGTCTGTCATTATACTGTCATAACTTTCCTATAATTTGTCATATAAATAACTTTATTTCCAGGAACTTGGAGATCAAGGCAAGGGCAAGGACTTTATCAGTCTTGGTCTGCAAAACGGACACTTAGTCTTCAGGTAAGAAGGCATCACTGTCATCACTGTTTTTCGTCTTGATTATGGTGGTATCCTAAGGAATATGCCCATGCTTACTCTTCGTATATCTGATTGGTAACGTACAGTTGAAGTCTGAAGTTTACGTACACTTAGGTTGGAGTCATTAAAACTTGTTTTTCAACCACTCCACAAATGTCTTGTTAACAAACTATAGTTTTGACAAGTCAGTTAGGACATCTACTTTGTGCATGACACAAGTAATTTTTCCAACAATTGTTTACAGACAGATTATTTCACTTATAATTCACTGTATCACAATTCCAGTGGGTCAGAAGTTTACATACACTAAGTTGACTGTGCCTTTAAACAGCTTGGAAAATTCCAGAAAATTATGTCATGGCTTTAGAAGCTTCTGATAGGCTAATTGACATCATTTGAGTCAATTGGAGGTGTACCTGTGGATGTATTTTAAGGCCAACCTTCAAACTCAGTGCCTCTTTGCTTGACATCATGGGAAAAGCAAAAGAAATCAGCCAAGACCTCAGAATTTTTTTTGTAGACCTCCATAAGTCTGGTTCATCCTTGGGAGCAATTTCCAAACGCCTGAAGGTACCACGTTCATCTGTACAAACAATAGTACCCAAGTATAAACACCATGGGACCACGCAGCCGTCATACCGCTCAGGAAGTAGACGCATTCTGTCTCCTAGAGATGAACGTACTTTGGTGCGAAAAGTGCAAATCAATCCCAGAACAACAGCAAAGGACCTTGTGAAGATGCTGGAGGAAACAGGTACAAAAGTATCTATATCCACAGTAAAACGAGTCCTATATCGACATAACCTGAAAGGCCGCTCAGCAAGGAAGAAGCCACTGCTCCAAAACCGCCATAAAAAAGCCAGACTACGGTCTGTAACTGCACATGGGGACAAACATCGTACTTTTTGGAGAAATGTCCTCTGGTCTGATGAAACAAAAATAGAACTGTTTGGCCATAATGACCATCGTTATGTTTGGAGGAAAAAGGGGGGACTTGAAAGCTGAAGAACACCATCCCAACCGTGAAGCACGGGGGTGGCAGCATCATGCTGTGGGAGTGCTTTGCTGCAGGAGGGACTGGTGCACTTCACAAAATAGATGGCATCATGAGGAAGGACAATTATGTGGATATATTGAAGCAACATCTCAACATCAGTCAGGAAGTTAAAGCTTGGTCGCAAATGGGTCTTCCAAATGGACAATGACCGTTGAGAGCCCGGTAATCAATGCACGGCCGCTGCCCACCATCCTTTTTCCCCACAAAGAAGAAGCCCGCGCCCGCGGGTGAGGTAGAGGTGGTGGAGGTGACCCTCGACGAGTGCCTCGTCTATATACTCCCTCATGGCCATTGTCTCCGGCCAGGACAAGTAAAACAATCGCCCTCGTGTGGGCATGGCGCCCGGCAGGAGATCGATAGCACAGTCGTATGGCCTGTGAGGAGGTAGACCCTTGGCACGCATCTTACTAAACACCTCCCCCAGATCCCAATACTCCCGGGAAACTCCTGCCAGGTCTGGGCCGGTGACGGAGTCTGTAGCCGCCATCCTCCCGGTTTCAACCGCTGCTAGGGCGGTAGGCGGTTCGGAGTGCGGGACCTGGGGAAGATCTGAGGACTGGTAGGTGGTCTGGGACGGTGGTTTGGGCTGATGAGTGGTCGGTGGAGACCGGAACAGGACAAGAGCGGAGCCTCCCTCCAGGATGAGCCGCCCCATGGACCAGTCTATCCAGGGTTTGTGGGCGACCAGCCAGGGATGCCCGAGGACGAGGGGACACTCCGGAGAGTCCACAATAAAATACTGGATATCCTCCCATAGCCCCCCTGCCACCCGGACAGCACGGGGACAGTGCGCCGGGTGATGAAGCCCGACCCCAATGGCCGGCCGTCCAGGCCCATGACTGGAACTGGCTCGGAGAGGGAGAGTAATGGAACGCTCCACCCTTGGGCTAGCCCCGTGTCCATCAGGTTTCCCGCAGCCCCAGAATCCACTAGTACATGCGCCCTACACGCAGCGCGGGCCCACTGAACCCTGATGGTGAGAAAAGTCCGGGAGTCTCTGGAGTTGGGGTTTCGGTTCCGGCTCGCTAGCACCCCTCCCGATATTAGCGAGCCCTCCCGTTTCCTGGCTTCTCCGGGTATGAGTCGCAGTGGTGACCTGCCTGGCCGCACTACAGGCAACGTCCCTGGCGCAGACGCCTCTCCATCCTGGACAAGCGCGCCACACCCAGCTGCAGAGCCTCCTCCTGAGGTGTCTCCTCCCTGAATCGGCGGAAAGCCTCCAGGCTGATAGGGGGACGCGGAGGTGTGCCTTGCGTCATCCCTCTCTTGTGCTCCCTCTCACAACGGCGATTGTCTACCCGCACCGAGAGGTTGACGAGGCCATCCAGTCACTCAGGCAGCTCCCTGAAGGAGAGTTCATCCTTCATCCCCTCCGATAGCCCTGAGCGTAAAGGACGACCAGGGCGGCCTCCTCCCATCCTGCCTCTCGAGCCCGAGTCCGGAACTCCACGGAGTGGCCCGCCACCGAACGGTCACCCTGCCGACAGGCCGTGAGCCGCCTCCCGGCCTAGTGCCCCGACACCACCCGAGAGGTGTCGAACACCTTGCGTAGCTCCCGGGTGAACTGGTAGTAGTCGGAGCATGCCAGAGTTTGGCTCTCCCACTCCGCGGTAGCCCAGGAAAGGGCCCGACTCGTCAACAAAGTGATGATGTAGGCCACCCTGCCCTGCTCCTTCGGGAAGGAGAAGGGTTGTAGGCTGAATACCAGGGAATACCCTGCAGCCCTCTGGACGTCCGTCATACCTCTCCGGAGGTGGTAGGCGGGGTTCCCGCGATGTTGCAGGTGAGACTGGAGACGCCGCTACCGCGGCTTCTGCTCCGCCGGCTGCCGGGCTGGTCGGGTGTCCATTGGCAACGGAGGTTCTCTGTGATCTGCTGCATGCTGCGGTCGTGTTGGTTCAGCATAGCTCCCTGCATTGCCAATGCGCTCCGATACTGTGCTGCTGGGTCCATATTGGCTCAGTTTTCTGTAAGGGTTGGTGTGAGGTGTGACCCAGGTGCGGTGCAGGATAGACAGTAGGCAGTAGGCAGATATGGTGAAACAAGGATCTTTACTGGTGGTCCCAAAACCAGGATACAACATAACGGACTTAACACGATAAAAGAAAGGTGGAGCAAATAAGTCTCCAAAAACAAGCTGACAGCCAAAATACGAAAAAGTAACTACGACTGAAATAATAAAGAAACAGGGAGAACACTTCTCGAGTACCTGTACATACTTCTCCGATCAGACTGCTGAGCATAGAGAAACTAGCAGAGAAAACTGAGCAAGGGAACACAGGGAAGTGAGGGCATAAATACACAGGTGAACAGGTAGACACAGGTGACACCAATAGGATCATTATTAGTCCAGACTGTGAGTGAGGAGGTGCCTAAGGTTGTCGGAGAAGGACACCTAGTGGATCGCTCCGGAATTGCAACCCCCTCCTCTAACAACAGGGGTGTCAATAGTTTTGACCCCTGCCTTTTTGAGAGAAAAAAATATTACTTGTTAAACAAAATCTCTTTCTCTGAGCAATTGTATTAGTATAAAATTATAAAATGTCCCTATTTTTTTTAGCATACAATATAGCTCAGTATTGTAATTATTTATTTTATACAGTCATTCTTGCTCATCTTTATCAAGGGTGTCAATCATTTCGGACCCCACTGTAGTTCCTTATTCTCCTCTGTGTAGTCCCAGTAGTAATGCTGCTGTTGCATGATCCCTGTCTGTCCACAGCTACCAGCTGGGCAGTGGAGAGTCTCAGATCCAGTCCAGAGAGCCCATCAACGATGGCAGATGGCACAAGGTCACTGCTGTGAGGTAACGTACATGACTTTCCACTCTCATGCTCTGTTACACCTTGTATTATTCACCTCTTATTCCACATACAGTGGAAGATCTATTTTTAATAGAATATAAAAAAAAAATATTTTTGGTGGTGATTTATTTTCTCAACGAATGTACTCTGTGCTTTGTGATGAAGTGTATTGATTATACGAGTAAGGAATTTTTTCTTCTGTGTGTGTGTGTGATCAGAACTGGTAAACAGGGATATATTCAGATAGACGGCGGAGCCATTCGACGAGGACAATCACAAGGCAAAAGTATCATGGTGAACACCAAAGGCAATGTATACCTGGGTACGTCTCCTTCCCGTTAGGGACCTATTGGGAAAATGTCAAGTATTATATTTCAAAGTCTCCTTAGAGTAGAGAAATACAGTACCTTAAATATTTCCTTGGAAAGGGACAAGAATTAAGAGTTTGAAAGTACAGTGTCCCAAATCTATAGGGAAATGACTGATTGACAGAGGTGATATTGTGTCTTCTCTAAGGACATGCACTGAGATTGACTGGGTGTGCGTGCATGTACTCATGTGTGTGTTTGTGTGTTACAGGGGGAGCTCCGGACATATCTGCGATGACGGGAGGGAAGTTCTCCTCGGGGCTCGAAGGCTGTGTGAGGAACCTGTCTTTGATGAACGCCCGGCCGGGAGAGCAGCTGGCCAGACCCATCGAGCTGCAGGCCACAGCAGAGAATGGCATCAACGTGGGCCGTTGCTCCTCATAGACCTATAGCGTCTCCCCCCCCCCCCCACACACATGCACACACACACACACACACCCAGAGACTATGGAGACAAGATACACACGCACACATTCACAGTTACACGCAAACACACAGAGACTTACACACATGCATACACATACAGTCAGTTTGATACAAACATGGTGCTTTGCTCCTACCAAACACAAAGATACACAACACAAAATGATATTTTGCTCTGTGTGCATTAAACCAAAAAAAAGAGAAAAAATGAAATGATATTAACAAGTCTTCACTTCCTCAGTGTTGTATTGTCAATGAAGGTCAAGGACTATTAACACAGGAGATCCAGTACAGTTTACATACTCCCGGCAGTAGCTTTTAGCCATGAGAACAAGAGAGTAAAACGCTATAGGCCTTCTACGATGGGTCAGATCCTATGGAGTTGGAGATGTTTTTACAGCACTGAATTTTTATTTATATAAATATAAATATATATTATATATTTGTGGGGAAAACATGCAAACTAACCATAACTGCTCTTCTTTGTCCTGGAGTTGATTCTGGGTTCTAATACTGTGTGTCCAGGGCTTTTTTAAGGGCCTAGTTTTGTTAATACTTGAAGACATTTAGGCCTTCTACTTTCTTCTTCACTTCTGTAGGGGAACCTGAGGGGCGAGCATGCTCACAGCCTTGTTACACTATTGGTAGAGGGGTCACAGAGGTCACGGCACAAAGCAGTATCAAGACTCATCTCAGGGGAAGACAGGATTTAAAAAACAAACAGAACGCTATTAGAAGTAATGGTGCTTTTCAATTCTGCCAAATCATTTCTGATCTGATTTTAAAATCACTTGCCTTCCCACACCTAGCATGGTTGCCTCTTTTGTGTCTGTAAGTTGTTTTTTAAAAACTTGGTGCTATTAAGTCAGACATGAAAATACAGAGCACTAACACTCATTTGTCTGGCTCCTTATATTAATGTAGTACATGTGTTGTTACATTTTCTTCATTTCTAAATTTCAAATAATATTAGTGTAAAATACATGCTACACATGTGCCTATTTTCATTCACCTCTCCTGAGGTTGGGGAGGTTGTGTTGTTCTCCAGATGAAATCTGAGGTTTATTTTAGTATTTTTAGTGTGGCTCTGTCTCCTCGTGAGTCCTAATTGATTGAGTAGATCTCAAAAGACAGCAAGGAGGTGTTTTAAAGAATACATGGAGATTGTATTTTGATGTTTTTTAATATGAGCGGTTCATCATCCAGCTTTGATTATTTGAATCAGCTGTGTAGTGCTAGGGCGACCCAGGACCGACTTTGGGAAACCCTGATTTAGCAGACTTACAACTTACAGTAGTGCACTGTAAATGTTTTGTACTTTTTCACACTGGTCCACCGTGGGAATCAACCCCACAACCCTGGCGTTGCAAGCGCTATGCTCTACCAACTGAGCCACACGGGACCATCTTTTCATCCCTATATGATATTGTGTGTGTACTGTATGTCTTTGTACTGTATGCGTGTGTACTTTATGTGCGCGTCTCGCCATCTAAATCCTCAGGAGGATTAACGCAGAACTGCCTCAGTCATTTTCAGGTTCAGTGGCAACTAGCCTCAGTAGGTCTCATAGAACTAACAGGTCTGATATGGAACTCAGCAGCTGCATAATTTTGTTAGTTGTTGTACCTAACACACTATGCAAGCAGATTCATGCCAAAATATTTTGACATGGATATGGCTTCCATAACTTGGGGTAGACGAATTGGAGGAGACTAACAGTAGATATACAGCAGACAGAGTAGATTACTTCAGTAGTGGGAGAATGCAGTTGAAACCTCCCTGGTGGGGTGTGTGCTAGCTGTGACCTTTGGAGCTCCAATGAGCATGCTCGCCCATACTGGTTGACCACATTACAAATATGGCATCATAGTTCACTTCATGAGATTCACAAACTTTTCACTTTTTGTAAGTTTAAGATTATGTTGATTAATATTCTAAAATGAGCACTATCATTTCACTTAAAGTTGCTTCATTTTAATTTATTTTCATTTCTTTTCATTTCTTTGTTTTATTCATTTCTGATGTTTATTTCAGGCTTGATTCGGCTGTTGTAGAGCAATCAGAAAAGCTTGCCATAATAGTTTTCTTGGGTTATTGTGTATTGCCTCCCCACATCCCCCTGTTCCCTTCATGTTGGATTTTTAATACCGTTCTTCCAAGTGTCTTCCCCGACTGGAGTTCTCACAATGACCCCTCGGCCTATACAGTCTCAGTGGAGTGTCTGTGGAACTGTGGTAACCGACAGTAACATCAGCCTGACAAGGGGTTGTCAACTGCTTTGTGGCCAGACCCAAATAGATCTATGTGTATCTATAGATCTATATATACAGTATGGCTCTGGTTTGAGATGACAAAATTGAGGATCTTAGGCTCTGTATGTCACACTGAGTAGAGTTACCATTACTCATTGGGAAAGGTTACAATGTGTTTATTGTGTAATTGACAGGAGAAAACACTGCATAAACACAGATGAGAAATACATCACACAATCACATATCATTAATACATTGAATGCCCTATTTGTGTGGTCTTAATCATAAGATATAATTGGGTATGGTTGATGTACTGAGTATGTATGAAGTAAATATGGGCACTCATCATTGATGAAGATATTATTTCACCTTTTTTTGAAATTGTTAATATTGTCTATGTTTCATTTTTTGGATTAAAGACATGTTGAAAAAGACCGTCACAAATTTCTAGTGAATGGAAGTTTACTACACATAATATTATTGTCCATTGGATGATACTGCTCTTGTTCCTGACTGAACCATTTCGTGTTGAAAGGAAGGACTCTTCCCCTCCCTCAGTGTTTCTTAATTAAAACAAAATTAATGTGCTATTTATAATCTTGTGAGTCGTGTTCTTTTCCCAGTCATATTATTTTTACCCAGTTCTATTATTATTACTGTCAGGATAAACGTGTATGCGGTGAACGAAGTCAAGCGCAGGACACCGAGAGACTGGCAGATGTACTTTACTAATAAACGTAATGAAAAGTACAAAACAATAAAACCTCCAAAACAGGGAGGAACAATAATCGCAATACACAGACCTGCCGAAAACAAACGGAGAACAATCACACACAACAAACGAATGACAGACAGGGGTTATAACGGGAAACACATCAAGGTGTACACAAAGCAGACCAATCTAGATGATTGCTGAAACCTAGATCGGTGGCAGCTAGTACTCCGGGGACGACGAACGCCGAAGCCTGCCCGAGCAAGGAGGAGGAGCAGCCTCGGCTAAATCCGTGACATATACTATGATTATCAGATAAGGCATGGCAAATGTTTATATAATAAGTAACCGTAGCAGCATTTGAAAATGCTTTTATACTTCATTTTTACTGCTCTGTTCTACCAGCATTACATACATATTACATTGCAACAGTGGAAGAGGAAGCATCCCAACAAATAGGTCCCATGTAGGGCTGTGGCGGTCATGACATTTTGTCAGCTGGTGATTGTCAAGCAAATAACTGCTGGTCTCACAGTAATTGACTGTTAATTAACATAAACACATGTAGCATCTCTTGGCTTCCACGCATAGCCTACAAGCCACTGATGCAGACCTTTGGAACATCTACATTTAAAAATGTCTAATAAATCCATTTAATATTAGCTACACCATCACAATAAATCCATTATTTATTTTAGACACGTCTAAAGAAACATGATATGAAGAAAATGTAGTCTATTTCAGAAGAACAGAATAGCATACTTTGAGTTAACCTTATGTTAGGCCCTGATCTGGCTATGCCATATCGCTGTGGGCTACACTAGTTCATTTAGCAGACAAGATCTGCTTAGAATTCCATGGCATTATTTTATAGTATGAAGAAAATAGCTGAAGAAAATAGAAAGGATATTTTCTCCAAACAATTTGAGGGAGTGCGCACATGCGGTTATTCTGTGTTGAGCTGTAAGCAAAGAAACAGGTCCTCCTATATGCTTAGAGTTATTTATGCAGCTTTAGTTGTGATACAAACGTTGGGCTATATGTTTAGATTTTTAATACATTCTAAGGCTGCATGATGCGACTCTAATGATGATTTGAAAAAAGTCGCATGAAACGAATGACCTCTGCTTTGTTTTTTTTGCGCAGGCTACACACTTCATCAGTCTCTCATTCACAATTTGACAAGCACTTGATAATGCCTCGAATTTCCCATTGGCATCCCCTTTGTGTGGCCGTAATTCCCCCTAAAAATATCAATGCATTTATGGCCAGTGGCTGTTGTGCCCTGGGACTGAATATAATCATTATAATGCCATTATCCCAGCTGCGTGCTCCAAAGCACCTCTCACTCACATGGCTCTCTCAGATATCTCAATTCTTATTAGCCGATGCCCGTCACATGATCAGGTCCTTCTCACAGGCTACAAGTGAAGACAGACACATCAGGGACTCAACTGCGCCCGTCCTTATCGAATTCTGAGGCGCATATTGAAGCTGTTGGAAGAACTGTCCACATTTACAGTACCAGTCAAAAGTTTGGACACACCTACTCATTCAAGGGTTTTTCTTTATTTTTTACTATTTTCTACATTGTAGAATAATAGTGAAGACATCAGAACTATGAAATAACACATATGGAATCATGTAGTAACCAAAAAAGTGTTAAACAAATCAAAATATATTTTATATTTGAGATTCTTCAAATAGCCACCCTTTGCCTTTATGACAACTTTGCACACTCTTGGCATTCTCTCAACCAGCTTCACCTGGAATGCTTTTCCAACAGTCTTTAAGGAGTTTCCACATATGCTGAGCACTTGTTGGCTGCTTTTCCTTCACTCTGCCGTCCGACTCATCTCACACCATCTCAATTGGGTTGAGGTCGGGTGATTGTGAAGGCCAGGTCATCTGATGCAGCACTCCATCACTCTCCATCTTGGTAAAATAGCCCTTACACAGCCTGGAGGTGTGTTGGGTCATTGTCCTGTTGAAAAACAAATGATAGTCCCACTAAGAACCAGATGGGATGGCGAATTGCTGCAGAATGCTGTGGTAGCCATGCTGGTTAAGTGTGCCTTGAATTCTAAATAAATCACAGACAGTGTCACCAGCAAAGCACCCCCACACCATAACACCTCCTCCTCCATGCTTTACGGTGGGAAATACACATGCGGAGATCATCCATTCACCCACACTACGTCTCACAAAGACACTGCGGTTGGAACCAAAAATCTCCAATTTGGACTCCAGACCAAAGGACAAATTTCCACTGGTCTAATGTCCATTGCTCGTGTTTCTTGGCCCAAGCAGGTCTCTTCTTCTTATTGGTGTCCTTTAGTAGTGGTTTCTTTGCAGCAATTCGACCATGAAGGCCTGATTCACACAGTCCCCTCTGAACAGTTGATGTTGAGATGTGTCTGTTACTTGAACTCTGTGAAGCATTTATTTGGGCTGCAATTTTTGAGACTGGTAACGCTAATGAACTTATCCCCTGCAGCAGAAATAAGTCTGGGTCTTCCATTCCTGTCCTCATGAGAGCCAGTTTCATCATAGCGCTTGATGGTTTTTGCGACTGCACCTGAAGAAACATTCAAAGTTCTTGAAATGTTCCGTATCGACTGACCTTCATGTCTTAAAGTAATGATGGACTGTCGTTTCTCTTTGCCTTTTTGAGCTGTTTTTGACATAATATGGACTTGGTCTTTTACCAAAAAGGTCTATCTGGTAGTGTATATAGTAGGCCTAGCCT